TTATTTTTATTGGTGATACATCACATGGGCTGAATTTTTTATGTTCTTTTGTTCGTGACACCGCAAATAAATATTGCGAGTTTGCGTTCAATAAACTCAGTTGTAAGTCAGCGCTACGTCCGTGTCACTTCTTTGTCTGGTCCTCGTCTTTCCGCGCTGTTTTTAATTTCCGAAGTATGTACCAACTCGCCCAAGCCTCAACTTTAGCATTATATATTGTTCCTTGTTTATAATGCTGATTGTAGGGGTGTGGGGCGGCGGGAGGGGGGGGGGGGGCAGAGGCTCTGCCAGGTATCCTGCCTTTATCTCTGCCCCCCACGCGAACGTCATTTGCAAAACAAGAAAACAAAAGAGGTGGGTAGACAAGGGTTCAGGATACCAATTGATGCTCTTTCTCTCTCTCTTTTTCTTTCTTGGTCGGTTTCTCGTGTATCAATATATTCGCAGCTAAAAAATGTAGTCATTCATTAGAACAAAAACGTGTTATAAGTCACGCTGGGTCAATTAAAAATGCTTTTACCTTTTTACCTTTAAAGGGACCATGAAACGATTTTGAAATCGAATTTCATTCACCGCACGTCGTAAAGGGCGTGGAAAGGAAACCAAAATAACAAAAATAGAGCTTAAAAAATGTGTCGCTCTAGAACTTTAAGAAAAAAGAAAAAAAAGCGGACTCTTCTATACCTTCTTTCCTTCTTAAGCTTTCTGCCCTTTCACTGCGATGCATCCGCGATGCCATGGCACGTCAGCCAAATCAAGATCACCTACTGGATAAGAGCCTACCCATAGAGTTATTATAATGTGCGCTAGAGGTTCAACTGGCGCTAGTGTGCTGCTGCAAATTGAAGCAGACAGCAACCAGTCGGAAATTGACTTCCGGGAATGCATTTCTATGGGAAAAAGCCAGTGCATTTTCTCTCTGCGCTCAATTATAAGAGTAAATATAACGCATTATTCGTACGTACTAGGCACATTAATACATTTCTCCGTCACGCAGACGAAATAATTGGTCAGTTACGGTGTTTTTATTCGAAATTCATGGCATGAAAAGGTGTGCTAAAACCGCTTCGTAGATGTATTTATGTGCACTGTCGGACATGGCTAGCACGAACACGGCGTCGGCGCTTTCCAGAATGGGGGATATACGTGCCAAACGAATGAAGGACAGGTGGAAAACCAAGAGAGACGGCAAGAACTACGCAGTAACACTGGATAAGTCACTCCTTGTGCATGCAGACGATCAAAATAAACTGAAAGCCACGTAATATAGTCCGATTTGCAATGTATAAGTACTGCTTTATTCTTTCTGCTCATGAATATGTGCGAAGATGCATGTTCTGGGTTCAAATCATCACCCACACGCTCCAAATCTTTGCAGATAGGGAGAAGCCAGAGAACAGGTGCCCGATAAAAACTGCCCAACGTAGGAAATAATAAATATACACACCTTTCGTATCCCACGTACATTAGTTTTTACGTTTGATTTTTTTTTTAACCGAGCGTACAGATGAACGACGGAGTCCTTTACATTTAGTGACAGGACGGGCATATTAGCAATATATAAGAGCCACCGGCATGCTAGCGAACTTTGAAAACTTTGTTCGTTATTTTGCTTAGAATCGTCGCTCATTTTTGCATACCTGCCATGGAACAGAGGTTTGGGAATGAAAAATAGCGAAGTTTAACATCGTTCAGTGGTAAAAAAAATGCTGTAACTAAAGCAATTACACCTTCACAATATGAATAAAGGTACATACTACCCGGTACAACCGAAGTAACGAAAGTTATTCATGTTATTTTCCGTCGAAGAGACAAAATGCGCGCGCGTTTTCCCAAAGGAATGCACAGAAGCACCGCAAAAGTAGACTGGTTGCTGTCTGCTTCAATTTGCCTCCCGGAAGTCGCATAGACACTAGCGCCAGTTGAACCTCTAGTGTACATTATAATAACTCTATGAGCCTACCTCACCAACACCGCGATTTTAAAGAATAAACAGCGAGCGAATGTTTCTTAAACGTTTTGTGAAACTTTTCTGATCCGCATTTTGTTCAATAATTAGCGATGTGGCGGAAATTTCCGAATTTTGTGATGCTCGGAGCCATGCGCCATCTATCGTGTGGAAAACGACTCAAGAGAAAGATAGGACTGCGCTGCGCTGCGCCGCGGTTCCAGCAATCTGCTGAAATATATGGCGTTGGTGGTGATCGTTGACGTGGTCGGCGTGATGAAAACTCATCGCTCCACGTAGAGCGCTATCCTTGACTGAATTCTCGTCACGTGTCGCGACGGTAACCCAGCACATTCTAGAAGGGAAGATCCATCTACTCGTGCGGCGATGTTGTGGCGGCACCCTCGAGACAGCAGAAACACTCATGTCGTCGTGTTTGTTTACTTAGACTACAGTGGTGCTTCCTTAGCATTTGTCTCCTCTAATATTGCCCGGATTTTTTATTTGGGCACTCCAGGCATGTGCTCAAGTTGAAGAACTTACAGGTGCGTGCGGTATTTAAAGGCGTGTATGAAGGACGCGGATTTTGACGCGTTTTCATCACCCGAGAAAAGTGAGAAGTGTTAGCATTCCTTGAACGATCGCAACGTCTATGTGATCACGAAATCATATTTCTACGTTGCTATATCTCTGCTAAGATTACGTCGTCTTTTGCAATAGTAGAAAAGGCATGTGGCTAGATTTTACCATAAGCGAGACTTCGGGGGGGGGGCATCGGGGCTCGTGCCCCCCCCCCCCCCCCCCTGGTAAGATCCAAAAAAAAAGGGGGGGGGCGAGAGGCCCGGGCCATACATCCTTACCGAGACGCTGTTTACGTGCCATGTAACGAGCTTATATAGAAGTGGCATGTAAACAAAATAACGCCCACGTTTCCTTTATTGACCAAATACATGTGAAATGGAATCCCAGCGTGCTTTGGTTAGCTACAATCTCTAGTTCTGGCAAAAGGTAACTCGCAGGACCCCCTCCCCCTCCCCCCCCCCCCCCCCCCCCCCCCCCCGGGAAAATGGAAAGTCTACGCCGCTGATTTGTACTCTCAGTGAAGTCGAGTTTTAAAGTCGCGATCATCCAAGACGGCGTACTGTATCTTTTTCTTTTCTTTTATCATCCACTCTGCCCTGCGAGCCTATCCCGACGAAATAAAAGTTGATAAAGCTTGATCCCAGAGAAAACTCCATGCATTTTCTGCTACGCTAGTGAGTAACAGAGCGTCCGCTTTTTAGAGATACCGCGGAAACGGCTGACGGGGCGGCGGAGAAGCGGCCGTCGTGCTAACGACCTGCTGCACTTAGTACCGGCGTATGGGACCAGTCCCATGCTGCCCCTCTAGCGCGACATATCTAATTGAACTTCACTCAGCTGCGGTGTGTCCATGGATATCGCGGTGATGAGAGGCGCCGATTCAGAAATTATGCCGGTGGCACCGGCGCCATCAGCGCAGTAAAACTCCGTGGTAAAACTTACCGGTACACCGGCAGCTCGCCGCTAACGCTCCCATTCTCCTACTGCCCGGTGCTATACTCCGCGACAACTTTTCTTGGCAAAGCAGTGGAAGGTATAGCCTCGCGTCCCCTCTCCCATTTTGAGAGTACGCGGGCTCTCCTCCTCTCCCCGGAAATAGGGGAGGAGAGGCTGCGTACACTCAAAATGGGAGAGGGGACGCGGGCCTGTACCTTACACTGCATTGCCAAGAAAAGTTGTCGCGGAGTATACAGTACGTCACAAGCGTCAAAAATTGCGCCGCGGCTTTTTTTGCGGTGAGTTATAGAGGAAGAAAAGCTCTACATTTCAATAATTTTTCGCGAAGAAGTTAATAAATCAAAACGAAAACGGATGCATGTTCGGCGTTCAGTGAACATTGAAGGTTTTATGTAAAAGTTATTTGGTAAAAGTAAAGAAAAGTCACTTCATGGTCCTTTTAAAGTCGCAGTCGCACTGCTCATTGATTGTACAAAAGGCGCGTTCGTTGCAGACATGCTGAGAAAATTATCCGCGGCCTAGCCTCACGCATGTTAGAAGCATGCATGCTTCAAACATGTGTATGCTTCGGACATAATGTGAAGGGTCCATCACACAAAGAAAACACACGCCTCAAACAGTGTGACAGTGTGTACAGTGTGTACATCTTCTGCATGACGTCTTAGCTGTGCGACCGAGGCTTTAAGGCCGGGGTCACACTGGCTCATACATCACGCAAAAGACAGCCTGCATACAGATTCGAACGCGAGTCACCGCGAGATCCGCGCTTCGAATGCTGCATGGCAAGGAGGTCAAGGAGGAAACTTGACACGCAGTATTCGAACCACGGACCCCGGCTTTAAGCCAGGATCACACTGCTCATACCATCATACAAAAGACAGTCTGAAAGGACAATTAAGTCACCGCAATATCCGTGTTTCGAATGCCGCGTGCCAAGTTTCTTCCTGGAACTACTTGCCATGCGGCATTCGAACCACAGAACTCTCGGCGACCCGCGTTCGAATCTGTATGCAGACTATCTTTAAATCTCCTCTTTTTCGAAAGCATGGAAAAAAGATGGCACGCCAATGTGCCCGACTCCTTTCACCTTCAATTGTTTTATTTTAACGTCTTCTCGTACCGTCTCCGACCTAACCTAACTTCGTAGATGTTTGAATAAAATATATGTAGTGCACTGCTTTTCAAATATCAAATGGCAGGCGCGTTTTGCAAGCGGCGCATGATCTGCGAGCGTTGTCGGGCTTTACGGGCGAGTTTTATTTTCGCCGACGTTCGAATAAATTATATGTAGTGCGCCTTTTTTTTTCTTTTTTTTTTTTTCAAGTAACAAATGACAAAAGTGTTTTGTAAGCCGCGTATTATTTGCGAGAGTTGACGAGCTTGGAAAGCGAATTTGTACAACCCACGCCATGCGCTGAAACCAATGTCGATTACACGACGATATTTTTTTTTGCGGTATTGAACAACATGCAAAAAGCAAGAAACATATTAATATCTAAAAACGCGAAAATAAATGAGGTAAGCAAGATACCATAAGGTACATATTGTAGTCCCTTCTTTGTGGGGACGTCTCTTCTTGGCGCTTTTCAGTCTTGTTCGGAGGTGCGGAGGTGTAGTCTGTGTGCGGCTCACTGATGCGTCTCTCTTGTGATTTTCGAAAATAACTTTAGACGTCAAGCCCTCAATGATGATCCACAGTAACCTTGTCAGATAGAAAATAAAATACCAAGAAAACAATAAAAATATGGTCTGATCAAACATTAATAAAAGTGCAATGCACCCTATTACAAGAACAAACAATACTTTGACAATTAATTATGCAATTTTGAGACTTTCCTGGACTTAAATGTTGGTTTACTTTGCTGCTACTCAATCCGGAAGAAAAATTAAAATTTGCTATTTCAACAAACGCATAACTAAATTTAAATTAGCATGAAACAAACATTATTTGCTAATACAAATAAAGCAAGACTTCACTACGGCTACCAGCTGCAGTTAAAAAAATAATAAAAAAAGCCCATTTCGGTTTTGGGCAACAGCTATTGACTTTTGTAGTTAACGACTCGCCCCCTTCCTTAAAGGATTGCCATAATCAAGCGATCTCCTGTTGCCTGTGTCCACATCATGGTGATATTTATATATGTTCCCTTTGAATCAGGTGGACTGAACTCGAGTTCGCATCTAACGAATAAAAATAGCATATGTTTTGCTTTTCTTTACGACTTCGCCACGAATCTTTTCACTTCCTCTTAGTTCTTTCGGCTGCTTCCCTGCTCTGCCCAAAGGGTTTCGTTGTCGGCGCCGCGGGTTTTACGTCCGCGTTTTGACTGCCACCGCTGGCCCTTGTGCATACCATCTGAAGTCGGGTTCTTCAGCCAGAATTAATGGCGCCCTCTTTTCCCCCCTGTTGAGCGGCGCAATTCTGTTCCACCATAAACCCACTACGTTGATCATTTTAGTCTAAACGATGGTATATACACTTTGAACACGCACCAGGTTGACCCTCCGTTACCGACCTTCTCTTGTCTAACCAAGATGGCGAGCCACTGAAGTGAGCGTTGACGAGCCTCAACAATTAAGGCCTATGCTGAGAAGGCCACAGTAGCACCTAAAGTGCAAATAACCGGTCCTGCTCTGGCAATGATGAAATAAAAAAATAGAAAAATGGAACAAGAGAAAACAAAACTGAAGGTCGGTTAGAGCGGCGCTTTGCACAGCAGCCTGAAAGCGTCTATATCCGCATGCAGCTGCCCTACAAAAGGAAACCCGTATGGCGATCAGACATTTCTAGAATAGGTTGTATACAGACATGGCGCTTAAAAAACATTAGAATGAAAAAAAAAGTTTTTTTTTTTTTTTTTGGGGGGGGGACATAAATGGGAGACGCATATTTTTGATAATCTTTCCACGAATCAAAATCAAAATAGCGCAATATTTACGCCGGTAGTCGACATTTAGGCAGAGGTCATGGCACGCTTTAAGCCCAGCCCACAGATCAGTGACCCCGCTCATTACTACTGGACTGGCTTGGCTGCTCTTTTGAACACTAACAAGCCTTTTGACCTTGTAAGCGTGACGTCACCGCTCCGAACAAACCGTTGCTAGGTGCGTTGTTATGGACGAATACATGGGACTAGACTCATTCCTCCCTTTTCTTCTGGCACACGTTTGCCGATTAAAGCTTTATATTGAGTTTACGTTCGTCGAGCCTTTTCAATCGCGACTTTTCTGGTGGAGGTGCGGGGTAAAGGAGAAGGCGTTCCTTCTCGGTCATCCACGCGGAAATATACGGGCTGCCTGAAGTCACCGGGCTCGATCTAAATTGGACCGTAAAAATCGACGCCTGCACGAAGCAATCAATTTTTCGTCAAAAGTGTATTTCACAAGTCCGTTTTTTCTTTTAAAATTACAAAACGTAGCTCCCTTTCTCTAAAAAATAGGGCCGAAAAAGTAGCCAGGTCGAACGGCGGCAACGCAGATGACTGAGTAGAGCTGCAAGGCGCGTTTGGCGCACGCATTGATAGATGGCGCTACCTCCTTTTCGAGACTGCTCGTGACGACCGTGATTTACTAAAATGAAGATAATCTTTTTGTATTGTATCTTTAATTTAAAAATAAATACGGACAATAAAAGCAAAACTTGAACTTAAAAAAAAAGTCCGAGGACATTTAAGTACTTTTATGAGTTGTGAATGCGAAAGCATGAATGTCCTTCTTCCGCTCCAAACGTTTCGCCGGCCGATGGCCGGGCGCGCGGTCTCGTGAACTGGCCGCGCCGTGCTGAGCTCACGTTGGTTGCGTCTCCACCACCTCGGACTATGGCATATTTAAATAAATTAGCTATATATGTACGTTTCATCTTCTTGTGCCCTGGGGGCTTGTTTCACATTTACAATGCCAAAATGCTACCACTCTAGCTATGTTTTCTGTGCTGTAATCCTGCATTAATAAAATGTCCCTTGTATTTCCAGATGCTTCACTTGCCTCCTATTGGTGATACCCTTGCATACAAACGCTGTGATTGATAATTTTGAAGGGAAGTGTGCAACACTACTTCCACCGTGGCTCCGGGCAAGATACAGTTGTAACGTATAATCTTGGATATACTTGCTAATTTGAGATTTCGTAGATATTTTTATAACATATTTTATATGGAAAGGTACCACAAAATTGTGTTTCTTCCCTTTGGCTAATTAATTATAAAAAGACACTTCACGCACGTGAGACATAGAACAAGAATCCGTTTTTGTTTACCATGACGTGTTGCTTGCGAAAATCGGAACACGAAGAGGCGCAAACCTCAAGTTCTTTTCGCGTGCTGCTTTTAATAATGTTCTTGTGCAGATGAATTTCTCTCGGTTTGGGACTAAGATCGCACTCACATCATGGCAGAGGTTTTGCGACAGTTTGAATCTGCCGTAGAGTCGATGACGTCAGTGCGATACCTTCCTTGCTAATCCCCATCTTTAAGCCGGTGAACTAAAAAGGCCATTCTTGTTTTAATTATTTTATTCGCTCTAGTTAGCTATTAAGACACACACTAGAACACACGGAACTATAAATCGGAAGCGCAGATAAAAATAAAAACAACAAAGTGACACCACCATGCGCTTGTTTTGTGTGTGTGTGTGTTTGTGTTTGTCTTATGCGTGCTTTTTGCGTATATTTTATGCACCAAACGCCCTACTCTAAATCTTGCTTCACCTCAAACTGTTGTTTGAATGGCGTCAATAGCACATTTATAGACTCAGATGTGATTTTAATTCGAACAATTTTATTTAAAAAAAAACTGCGAAAGGTAGTACACTAATGCGGTCTGTGCAAGCGAGATATACTGACAGGAAGGATAATAGAAGGTCTCATTATCTCTCTAAGTAAAATGATTTGCTAAAATTTGCTCTTTACGGTTTTAATTAGGGGAACTAAACGTATAGTAGTAAATAAAAACCTGCTGAGCATCGTCGAAAATGACTAAATTATTTTATTTTAGAAAGACCTATTAAACCGTATTGGGGGAGGGGGGGTGCGCGATAGGTACCACTCGTGGAAAAGACGCAAGGCTGACTGTGCTAAAACGCGAATCATAATCTTATCCTCGGTTTCGAAACACTACAGTTGCGCTCTTGCACGAGTGGCAACTTCAAAGCTTCCCCGAGCTTCCCACCTGCTTTAAGTCTTTGGAAAATTGAATAATTCAGTGTTTTTCGATGACCCCGAGGACGTTTCTAATTGCAACCATATGTTAAATTTTTTTATAAGTAAAACGTTAATTATAAAATTTTAGTTAATACATAGTGTAAATATTTTGACAATTACCTCCTATGCTGTGTCCCCCAGGGGACCTAAACTCGTGAAACGCGAAGTTGGGGCCGAAGTTCAGGGAGCGCACCGATTGGACAATCACGACGATGACTTGGCGCTTTTGTCGCCAACATCCAATCGGCGCGTTCCGCGAACTTTCGGCCCGAACTTTGTGTTTCACGAGTTTAGGGCCCCAAGTCGTGTAACTCAGCAGCACAAATTAGATTAGTGTACCTTTCACAGCTTTCTTTGTAATATATATGTTCCCAATAAAATCAAGCACCCCTTATATCAAGTCGCTTGTGTTACATTGTAAGCAAGAACAAACACTTCGTATTTATGAACTCTACAACATACCTTGGTTACCGAGCGAACATGAACCGCATCAAATCAATCGATGCAATATGTGTCGTATGATGCGCCTGCAGACTAATTTGCCTATTTTATTTTTGTTATTTTTTTAAGAAGTTAGCCTTTTTTAGACGGAATAAACGAAAAGTGTTTAGATCTTAAACATGACAAGATTTTAGAAACTTCTAGTTTGTATCAAGGTGCAATATTTGTAATTAATATAAAATTGCTCCCCACTATTACGAATGTTCACATTATCTTTAACATGATGCATACGTATTAATGTAATCGACTAAGCGTAAAAATGAAAGTAAAAATAAACGTAAAATTAAAAAGAGACAGCCTTATTCACTTAAGAATCAGCATTATTAGCTATAATTTGTGTGTGTGTGTGTGTTTTATTACGGAGACGAATATAATACATGTACATTGATATATTTCAAAAATGTCGGGAAGATTATGGGTGATACGTATGTGTACAAAATACTCTAATTAACATAGTTACACTTTATAATTTCAGATAATTAAACACTCGAAAACAAATGTACGACCTGTTGCATAACATTCCCTTTTAATACCACACAATTGCGTCGCCCTTTCGGAGTATCTTCTCGTGAGACGTTTACGCATTGAGATGAAGCAAAAATAACGGAAAAAGAGTAGCTAATGCGAAAGTTTTCTTTTTCTTTGCTCTAAAATATAATTTATATAGGCATAACGAATGGAGATATCTGATATTGAAGTGGTCTATTTTAAGAATTCCGCAGAAAAATATATGTCGAATAAATGGCAAATAAGTCATTTTTCCACTCGTTCGGTAGCGGGAGAATATCCTTAGCAGTTCCGATTAGACAAAACCAGGATGTCTTATTGGAACATAATCAGTGTGCTCGGTTTTTAGCTCTTTCTTGTAATAAAGATCAATATAAAAAAAAAATCATCGCTTCTTTTACCACTGACACTGAAGCTTACAGACGTCTTGAAATCTAAGCCATATTTCTTATACGAACGCTTAGAATAAGTCTACTTACAGGCAAATAGAGCATAAAGTATCCGACGAAAAAAAAGAAACGCACTACGACGGCTTAATTTGTACCCACCTCGTGACAAATTTTCACTGCTGCGATGCTCGCGAAACCTGCAGAAGTTAAGTTTTAGCTAGGTAACTCTTTGTTACCTAGAGCTGGTTTTAAAGAGATGCAGCCTCGTGGTATGCTCCCGTTTATATAGCAACTCTCTCAAAATATAATGTAGTATGAATAGTGAAAAGCAGTAGCCGCCGACACGTTCCACATTGCCAAAATATTTGCTGAATTTCTTAATGGTAGTTTGACAATGGTCTACTTCAGACGACACACTTTTTTCAGGGTGGCCCTTGCCCTCCCCATCTGGACCTTCTGTTGGGAAGAGCTACATTCTCAAATACGAGTACCAAGAATTCTTCGCAAGTCAGCCAGCCTGGTTGGAAGAATATTTTGATCACAAAAAAGAACGAGCAAAAATTAAGGCGGTGTCACTTGGCGTTGAGTTTGTCGACATTTATGATTTCGCCGAACAGACAGTCACATCATACAAAGCTAGAAAACCCTGTAAGTACGAAGTTTCCACGGCTTGTGGAGGTTTACATCACACACTCTGTGATTTATTTTTGAGCCCACAACAAGCGTAGGTTTGATTGTATTTAATGGGTTTGAGTGTTTTAGCCAAGCATTTATGGTGTCAGTCATCTCGAGCCACGATGAACTAGCATTGCACGCGAAACGGACCTGGTCATTATTTCTTCGGGGCATTGACAATAATAATAATAATAATAATAATGTAAAAAATATCGTATATACAATGATGAAGTTGGTACGCGTGCGCCATTTCGTTGTTAGAACTCATGGACCGGGGAAACTAAGATATCGAACCGCTCTGGAGACAAGTCTTCATCTCTAAGATTCTGAACGTTCGCACCTTGCGGTCTCATTCTCGGCTATTCTCAGCAAAATTATGAAAATATTTATGTCAGTCGAAAAATTTCAGACGTTGTTATATTCCCTGAAAGATTTACAGCAACAACTTTCAGAACAAAATCTTCTGCGTACAATTAATACCAAATATTAAAGCTAATATAACTCGTCATTTCAGTTTCTAGCCCAAAAAAGTAGAAAAAAAACTCATGAAGTGTAATTATAACCCTGAAGTAAATATTGTAACAGGCGAACACAAAAAAAAAACGATCACACACACGAGGTTCAAGTATCTGACATAAACTTCTCTAGAATATGATTATTTTACGACATGTGTGTATCAACCAAGCTATCAGCTTAAATTTGACGACACACTCTATCGGTAGTGCATTCTCGGTCGCTGGTTTTTCTGACAGATATAGGCTGGTATGGGACCAAATATTTCCTATTCATAACGTTTTTGTCATTATCCATATCTGTCTGACTATTCAGCAATTCCTTGCTGTAATTTTTAAGTGGTTTCTGTAAGTTGTCATGTCAATTTAATTTTGTACACATTCTAATAGAGACTATACTCTCATAGCGTATAGTTTCTATGAGAATGTGTACGAATTGAAATGGGCATGACGACTTCCAGAAACCACTGTCTAAAAAACTTTTAACAAGTAATTGATAAAAAGTTAGACACGGACAAGCATCGTTTCACTAACGCCTGCGAATATATTTTTAAAAGAACACTATAAAAAGAATGATTCCTTCGTGATGCTGTTACCGACAGCGGTGTACGTTAAAGTTCAAATGAAAAGTGATAATTAGCAATCTAATTACCTAAAATCCACTAAATAACTGTTTAGGCGTTTGTCTTATGTTGCTCATTTAGAATTAAAAATTGTTGTTCATTGTTCAAATATGGTAAGGGTGTATTCCAATAAAGACAGTCATAGGGGTGTCATGGCTATATTCCTTGTTTTCAAAAAAATTTTTATGCGAAGTAGTAAAACATGTCCAAACAATGGAATGAACCTTACTTTTCAAGATATTTTGGATTCGTAAGAAAAATCGCTTCTGTAATGAGGTGGAAACAGTGACTTTCCCAATTTCATGTTGATGCAATTTTGAGGGCCCCAGGAGTAACAAATACAACGTTCTACACCGTCGATATATTTATGTGTAACGCATTCCAACTGGTTTACCAGAACTAGTACATTTTGAAGGTTAAAATAATAATACAAACGTGGTCTTTCCAACAACTATTTCCTATTGAGGCATTTTCGGCAAATTTTTAAGACATTTTAGATTAAAGTTTTTAAGCTGAAACATTTCGCGGAGAATATTTTGAGCTTTGTTTTCTTTTAACCAAAGAACTAGTTAGAATTCTACAAATGTAAGGCAAAATTGTTGTGTGTGTGTTTATACAGCCGGAAGTTAGTCTGCCTCAGTGGGCGTCTGGTGTTTCAGCTGGAGGTGAGCAATTTAGCCAGTGCTGTACAACCGCTAACCTGGGGTCTTTAACGTGCACCATGCAGTAGCAATACACGACTGCACGCCGGTGTACGATGCTCATCCAGATCGAAACGGGCAGGGCGGGCATTAATCCCAGGATCCCTGGGTTCTGCAGCGCGAGCTTTCGTTTCACGTGCTCCGAGCTGGTGTGCGCTAGACCACTCGACCACCGATCCCCCCTAGAATTGTAAGGATTTCTTAAAGAGCGCCCGGAATTTCTTTAAAAATCTAAAAAAAACTAAAAATTATGCAAAGTTTAAACGGCATTTACAAAAAAATAGTATCGTGGATTTTGGCAAACATCATCTGAAGTTTTACACTTCATCTTGACAACTGGTAGTTCAAAATCTGCTAAGATATATTGTATTTTTTTATTTAAACTAAAGAAATTAACGTCCACTTTGGCCGTACTTGGTCACATTAACGTCCAGGCGGCACCACCAAGAACTATAGAAAAAGAAACCTGTGAGCTTTTTTTATTACTGATGTGGCTGACTGATATTTCATATGAAAACTAAACTTTGCGGCACGTTCGTTCCTTAGGGTACCGCCATTGGTTGATCGTATATTCATTGCTCTACCTTCCAGTCGATAACTTCAATTTGGTTATATCTTCTAACGAAATAGTTTGATTCACTTCTTTCGACAATGCGATTCTACGTTTTTCCTTAAGATGGACTTCTGCGGATGTTGCAAGCCATCTCCACTAATTCAATGTATTACGTGGCAACTCGTCACTGCGCCCGTCTCAAAGGACCCGTGACACTCACATGGCATTGAATATACCTTTTTCTGAATTACCAAAGCACCAAGGAGCATGCTGCGAGCGTATTTACACGCGCCGGACGTGCTGGCGTCTGCAGTAGTAACTGTTCTAAAGTAAAAGCCTAGAACAAGTTTCATCTTCCACACGCGTTACGCCTTTGATTATTTACTTTGAATTTTTTTATACGGCGAATACAAGCGCGTGTGGAGCGTAGACTTACGTTCTCAGTATTCTTTTTGATGCTTCGGTAATTTATCAACAGGTCTATTGACCTCGATAGCTTGTAGCGTCCTCTGCAGTCAATCGTAATGTAAAACTGAACATATGAACAGGCCAAGTTATGGAAGCTACTGCCCCAAACGACAGAGGACGTGGCGAGGGTAGAAGGAGAGCACTGCGAGCTGTGTCTAACAAAAAATGGCGATGAATGCAATGATAGGTAGCGTCACTGCACCGACGTTGCACCGCGAAGTCAGGTGTTTATAACGCAGCTACACATCGAGGGATGTTTACACCGTGCAGCGAAAGGCGCCGTGCAAATTAGAAACAGGTGCTCTCTAAAGTGCCTTTATCTACTTCCTTGATTATGTTGCGCAGAATGCTATTCATGCATATGAAGGCCCATGGAACGCAGAATGCATAACAAAGATATAAAAAAGGCTTTGTTTTCTTACTGTCTAAAATTTTTGTTTTTCGGTATTCATCAGGTTTTTGCGAGCCATTATTAACAATCGTACTTTTTTATATAAGTACTTGGTGTGTATATCAATTTATAGATGCGGGTAAAGCAAATATCCTAAAAAAGATGTCGACCATACGAAATACCTCAATGAATACAGGTCTGAAATGTTTGCAGACAGTTGCTCAAAGGGCCATGCTCGAGCCTTTATAAAATGCACAAAACGTAATGAACAGCTAATTTTATTTAGCAGGACTTACCTGCACGCAGACATTGTTTCTCAAAATTATTGGACTTCTCGCACTCGCGAGTTTCAGGATAGAGTATAGCACAATCTTTGCGTACGGAAAGAAATAGCGTTGCCGTCGTGCTGCGGTCCAAAAGGCGGTTTATGCTTGCGCATGCGGATTGGCGACGAGTCTAGGTCTTGTGCACTAAAATCCTTTTGTTACGTTACTCTAAATTCCCCTAATGTTATCACAATTAAGTTATTTAGTAGCAAACATGAACACACGGCAGTGCTCGTAAGTGCGAGTGTCCCCCTCTTCGTGACATAGGCCTTTTTGTGGCTGGAGATTTTGTTTTTTTCTAGGCAAAATTATATTGTGATTAGTCTACAATAAGTAATGTGATTAGAGATAAAATATTAAGTAATATAATTATGTCGACAAATCACCCTTTGCTAAAACTTTTCTGAACTCACCCAACACCGAACTACATAACTAGCCCTTCGTTCCGCCGCTGCAACGCTCGCCATCGGCAAGGACAGAAACTTCCGTTACTCCACCCATTCGTAGTAATGCGTATAGAGAAATAATCGAACTATATTTTTTTTTCAGAAAACTGTCTGCATTAATTATATTAAGGTATTTCCCCGGAAAGGTAGCACAAGGAACTTATATTTAGCCTGGTACAATACCGCATTGGCGGCACCGGGGGAATCCAGCACACACTACATTATTTTTATATACGCCTATATAATTTCGTCCTCTCCCCCCAAAAAAAGGGTCCTAGCTACGCCGCTGCAACAGCCTTAGGACCAAATGCACGGCACAGTTCAGTTAACGTATGCAATAACGACCACATAACCAATAAAAAGAAGTTCCCAGGTCTTCGGGCACGTAGCCAGGGGGGAGGCCCATCGGGCCCAGGCCCCCCCGAAATCTTCCATTTTGCTGGGACCTCCTCTTTTCCCTTCCCCTCATACAGCATTTTGTCATGGGCGGGCCCCCCCGAAACAAAATCCTGGCTACCGTGCCTGGGTCTTCCTATATTATTTCATGATGCTTGGAGGTTAACATGACCAAGTACGGCTGTGGCATGCTGTGCTCGAGCACCACGCATCGTTCAGACAGAAACACTCCATGGGTAATCGACTAAAACACAAACCTGGCAAAACGTTTTTTTCTCTTTAAATTAAAATAATCTAGACATGCTTCCGAACATTTCAACTAGCATTTGTCAAGGGTCCATCAGATGAAGTTTGAAAAAATCGCAGGTTGATTTTTTTTTTTATTATCCGTCCAAACTTTGCACAAATTTGACCTTTAAATTTTTATACGAATTCTGGGCGTAATGTAAAAAAAAAAAAAGAACAGGTAAAACCGTAGGACGCTAAAGCTTTTGTTAGAAGTTAACACAATTTGAAATACGTTATAAACAAAGTTTTAGCTCAAAAACTGAGCTGAAGTGCCCATAACGTCCGCCGAAGTCTGCCTTAAATATGAACGAGTTGTTCGAGAGTCCAAGTTCGTCGTTATTTATATATAATTCCTAATGCTTCCTACTTCACAAGTTTTTGTAAACTAGTTTGCATGTGTTACATAGAATAATAACGGTGCAGAACGTTGTTTTTTGTGGGTTGTTTTTTTTATTCATGAGGCCCTCAAAGTTGCGTCAACGCACAATTGGGAAAGTCGCTGTTTGCGCCTCGTCTCAGATGCGATTTTTCCCACAAAAGCAAGAACTATCTTGCAAAAGTAAAATTTTATTCCATTGTGTGGACACCTTTTTCTACCTCATATAAAAGTTTTATTGAAAACACAAGATAGGCATGAAGCCCCTAGGACTGAACTTCTCTGAACACACCCTATAGCTGTTAGAAGTCAGAGAAGTAAATTTTTTCAGGTTCTTTTTAATGGTGATGCTGGGCATACAGGAATTCGTCATTCTGAAACACTAAAAAAACAAATATGGCAAATTTCTAGGCAACTGTATTGCATAAGTGAAACGTTCTACCCTCACAAACGTTTAGCGATGCTCTATGTTTCACATATTAGGGGCTAATAAACCTGGTAACCATCCAGATCCTTCAACACTTTCGAGATCCTCTCCCTTAGCGCGCACAAGTGGTCGAGCTCCCTCCTTGCCTACCTCATTTCTCTCTGTCTACCCCTCTGCTCATGTGGCGTCCCCCTTTAACAAATCTGAGTCCACTCTAAGAAAAAAAGGGTGTAGTCGGGTGTATCAGACGCTCATGCACCCTTTTCCTGAAAGACGCACCCTCCGTTGCCCAGCCAGTGTGCTTGTACACCGACCATGAGCATCCCCCTCTCCCCTAAAAACCTCTAGGTGTACCAGTGCACCGCCACGCTAGCCACGCGGCCCGGTCAGCTTGTGCTTGGATTCCCCCATGGGGGTCACTTTTTGGGTTGGGCAGTTTCTTAGGAAGTATGGAGCTATCCTGTTCCCTCGGTATTGACAGTAGAGTGGACGCTATGCTTGTTTTAGGCCAATCGGGTCTCCGGATAGGATCACGTGACTACAGTCTCCAAGCTAGAGATAAGGCAGAGCACGGCACCTGCCTGAAGGCCAAGGCCACGGATAGCATCCACTGCACTATTAACTTTGGGTCAAACTTTCAAGAGGATATAGGCGACAAATCCTTTCATTGTTGGGTTGCCCCTGAAGATAAGCCTTTGCGAGGGCGCTCCCTTTTGGCCTTGAAGGAGCTGCAATTTTCATACTCATTTCTATTTCTTTCTCTCCCTAAGCTGAACGCATGGAAGAAGGCGCGCAGTTGCCGGACCAATGAACCGGAGGCTTTTTTTATGCCTCAACTCCTCTGTCTGGAGCGCGGATAACGGCAGGAGCGTGATCATGTGGTAAAGGTTTCACGGATGACGCGGTAGCTTTTTTCGATCTCGGAATGTCTGCTTCCCGGCCTAGTTGCTTGTGTGCTGTGCTGCAACTAGCGGGGCTGCCGTAGATTTCGCCCGCGACAACGTATTCGAGTGTACCAAGTTTTCCAGTGTTTGAAAAGTCCTACGCGTATATCGGCAACAGGGGATTTCTTCAAAAAAGCCCAAGGAAGTCATGTGATGTGTTTAGTGTTCGGTTCGGCAAATTACTGCTTCGGCCACATCGTGTTGAATCTTCGCGGACCCCTTTCTTTTCGTTTTTGTTTGTGTGGTTCTGCAGTGACCGTGTCGACATATACAGGGTGTCACAAAAGAAAATTTACACGGTATTTTTTACCGCAAAAATGAACTAGGCATCGCCGAACGCTCATTCTCCGCCCAAAGGCAGAGCTAGAAGTCACAACCAGATGCCAAAGTTTCAGCCCGATCCGATACCTTTATCAAAAAATATAAGTGATTTTCTGAAAATTTCAATGGGAAAATGGCGGCCGACGGAGTTTTCAAACACATGGGGCTCTATGGCACCAGAAACCGAAAACAGCCAAAAACAGGCTCCATTTTCCCATTGAACTTTTCAGAAAATCACTTATAACTTTTGATTGAGTTATCGTATCGGGCTGAAACTTTGGCATCTGGTTGTGACCTCTAGCTCTACCTTTGGGCGGAGAATGAGCGTTCTGCGACACCTAGTTTATTTTTGCTGTAAAAAAGACCGTGTAAATTTTCTTTTGTGACACCCTGTATATCGGATTACATATTTTAAGTCCGGTATTTTCATCGTAAGTGCACTGCAACCTTCTCCTTTGCAACAACTGACCGTTCCGTTTCGGATTACCTCTAGAATTAGGCAGTGTCTATATTCTAGCAGCCGGAAGAATAATTTCCCCGAAATTCTATCGGCAGTCGCCTGCCATTAACTATCTACAATCATGTGACAACTGCAGGTGGAATACTGACTTTCTTATTCTCCTGGCGTTTTGTGAAAACACGTTTTTGTCGATACACACTTTGTAGACACGTTTCATCGACACTAACGTTCCATAGTCACACGTTACGCAAACTGCACGCTGTAGGGGCATTTTGTCGCGCGTGTATCTCTGAGGCGCGTGCTCACCGACCCAGCCCCCCCCCGTTCGCGCCGCTTCGTGGCGGCAGTCTGCGGCGGCTCATTACAAAAATGTTAACCCACCTGTCCCACCCTTACAAGTCACTTCGCGGATACATTCTGGGGCGGCTCATTGCAAGAAGAAAAAAAGAAAAGAGAAGCTAATATAGGAAAGCTAATCTGAGCTGTCGATGAAACGTCGTTCGATGAATTAATGGCGACTGCCGGTGGATATTTGTGGAAATAATTCTACCGGCTGCTGGCAGAATGGACACTACCTCAGACTCGACCCCGGTTCTTGTTTGCTTAATAATCTTTTCAGTTGTGTAACAGCTTCTTTGTACGTCTTCAGATATTACGGATTGCTTGCAAGTTTGTACTTGTTAACGAAATAGGCTGTCTAATAAACTTCTATGAGATTTGAAAACAATACCGTGTGTCCGTTTACCTGCCTTTTTGCAATCACCGGGGCGCATACATTTTTTTACTGTTTTCCTTGATGTCTTAAATAGGTTTATGAAATTATGAAACGGGCGCATAAAGTGGTGTGACCATGCACCTTTGAATCGGGTGCATCTGTGTTCTCTTCGAATTCAGTGAGTGTAGAAAGAGGTGTAACAGTACACTATTGAACGGGGCGCTCCTGTGTTCCCTTTGAGAGCAGTAGGTGTAGAATGGGGAGTAATGGTACACTATTAAGCGGGGTGCATCTGTGTTCCCTTTGAGTGAGACGGGTGTATGAAGAGGTGCAATGGTACACCATCGAATGGGGTGCATCTGTGTTCCCTTTCATTTCATTGGGTGTAGAAAGAGGTTTAGCCGTACACCATTGAATGGGGTGCACCTGTGTTCCCTTCGAGTGAGATTTCTGTAGAAAAAGGTGTACATGTGCACCACACCAACGGTGTACACGTACTCCCATATTTGGGGTGCACATGTATTCCCCCAAAGGGTGTAGTATATGTGACAAGCACTTACACCCCCCATGGGTGTACCCCATGACACCTTTTTTTTTAAAGTGTGGAGCTTCGAGGGGCACGCTTATCATGTTTCATTTATCAGGCTTCACGAAATGCTGAGTACCTAACCATAAAACGTTTCACGTTAAAAAACGAAACAAAAGCAAAGATGCACGTCTTGGAGGCAGCAGGATATGGTGCGCTTGTTCTAGGGCAACGTGGCCATGAGATAACGCGACGCAGTCAGATCGGCTAGCGATGACTGACTACCCGCATGCGCTGTAAAAGTGGACATCGCTTCCAGTTTCGGAATTTCGGTCTCCTTGGCTTAATTTGATTGAGCATTAGGTGAACCAAAATTTAGTTGCTATTTTTGTTTTTAACCGTCATAAGCCCGATTCACATGGTGCGATTTTGCTCATAATTTTGCAATCGCGACTTTGAGAACAACAGCTTCAGCCACGCATTTCTTTTTTTTTTTAAGCACGAGCGACGTTGGAAATTCAAAATCGCAAGAAAACTTGTATCATGCAATTTGGGCTTATCTTAATGTAAGGCAATTTATCTCCGCAACAAGGTTATCATATGCATACAGGCTACAGCTTGTTGATGCAAGTTCCCACGGAATTTTCAATTTGACGAGCGAAAATGCCGCACGATAACGGCACTCGTGCTAACTGGCTGCATGGGCAATGAAATAGTGTTTATTCACTTTTGTGCCGTTGTTGTTGTTTTTCTTGTTGTTTTGTTGTTGTTGTTGTTGTGGTTGTTGTTTTTACCAATCCTTCTGCAATTTTTTTAATAAAGAAGATACTCACCTTCTAGAGTTATAAGGATAAAGCTTGACTCGACACGGTCGGCGATTAGAGATTAAAGGCAGCGGAAGTGAATCGAAGTCAGGGGTACAAACCATTAAGCATAGGCGGAACACAACATCATTTTAATCTCTACCGTTGTAAGTGTGTCCGGGCTGCCTGCAATTTTTATTGTTCAATTTCACTATAGTGAAGAGCTCAACATTTATTATTGTACATGACACCAAAAAGTGCAGTACAGTCCAAAGATATGTTCTACAAACAAAGGAGTGAATTGCTCTGGCAAATTTTGAAAGATAACCTTTAAATGTCTGAAAGTTTTCATTTGGCATATTTCATTACCTTTTTTATTGCAGCAACCAGTGGATGGGACCCACAAACCCAGGATGAGTGTGGAATATACGACATTAAAACGTTCAGATCGAAATATCTTCACATGGGGTTTCCATGTGCTCAAAAACATGCGGACACCTGCAAAATGCCCACTGCTGAGCAAGCTCTAAGATATGGTGGTTCATACAAATATTCCTTTAAGAAAAGCGTTATTGATTTATCAACTCGAAATATCAAAAGCAAACTGTATACTGCTTGCGTAGAGGATGAATTTCTGAATGGAACCTACGAATCCTATTATTACTGGGGTGGAGAGGGTAAGCGCATTTTTCTTACTTATGCCCGCTTTAATAGGGTGACATATTGATGTCGTTCAAGCATCACCATATAGTATATTTTTGTATTTGAGTACCTGGGTTTTCTAAAACGTCCGAGATCTCCATTAATATATCCAACTTTTCCCCAAACAGCGACTAGAGCTCCGAGTGATCGGTGTTTCTGCGCACGGCGCCTGCCGGCCCTGTGTCGTACTCCCCTTGGCTTGGCCTGCTTTACTTGGCCTCTCCAACCTTGTCCTTAGCGCCTACATGATATGATATGATATGATATGATATATGATACGATATTGTCACGGATAAGGCGAAGGGATAATGTATAAATAACTGGAAGAAACGTTTAATGGTGCGAACTTGTGGATAAAATAAACGAAAAACCAAAAGGGGTAAATGAAGGACAGTACAGAGCGTGCTGGGCGTCGGAGTCCGCGGAAACACAGAATCGAGCGCTGGTGAAAGATTGCGTCGTCGTAGGGAGAGTCTTAGTGTGTCGGCAAAGCCGCGCTCGGCTTCTTGTCTACTACACTCGGTATTCGGAATATTCGACCTAGAATGTTCGGGAGTGAACTAGGCCGCAACTGACTAGGCAAGATCATTCCGGCCTCCTTGTCTTTTACATTCGGGATAAGAGTAAACTCGAATCTTTTAGAAGTATAGAGAAGCGCACCTTCTCGATCATGCATGTGGCAATATTATATAATATCTATTGCACTTCGCGACGGGTAGAGACGTGCAGGATGGGCGGGCGTTGCGGAAAGGCTGGCGTCCATGCATTGGGTGTGCCAGCGACACTAACCCGCATGTCCTATCTGTATAATTCTTACAGTTCTTCGCCACCGCAAAATAAACCCGGGGTGATAGCCAGTCATTACGTTTTTTTTATGTCTTTCGCTTGGATATATTGATTAGCAACAACAAAACAAACAAAGAAAGAATAGCCCTTTAACCACTTGGCGTAGTCCGTCAGGAGATGCGAGGACTGACCGACAGGTCGGGCTGGACATATATGGGAAATGCATTTGTTTGTTGCACTATTGTCAAGCTTTCTCATAGACGCCGCTGTTTGTATAAGCAGCACTGCACCGCTGACGTAACTGCTGCAAATGTAAAGATTAACCTCGCGCCGCCACAGGCCAAAGCAGCTACGGCTCACCTCTCATTACGCCTAACTTTTTTTATTGAACTGCAAACCGCCCCATGAACATGTGGTTTCTTTGCGGTTCGGGTTCAAAATCTAATGGTCGAAACGGGTTTTGGTTTTCTTCCGGTTTGGTCAAAATATTGTTTCTGATCCAATTTTTGGTTCGGCCCGGGTTCCGATTCGGTTCAACACCCTGTCCGAAACAAACTTAGCCGTCGTGACGACGAGTGGCTCATACTGTCCGAGCATCTAATACTGTTTTCTTGTTTTTTTTTGCCGTTCGCTTTTTTTTTTTTTTAACCGTGATAACCTCATCTGCTTGTCGGTTCCGCTTTCTCAATAGAAATGGAGGTCCGCATTGCTGTTAATTAACATTTCATGGATCCCTTAGGTTGGCAAGCCAACATGGCAAGTGAGAGGGTCTGACAGGTCAGAACTGACTTGCGCATACGAGAAAAGAAAAAAGATAGGCTATCTTAATTTGCTTTCCTGTCGAGAAGTGATTTATTTCTATTTCTAGTTACGTAGGACTTAAAATAAAGTAGAATGATAAAAAGCATAAACGAGTATTCAAACCTAAACTTTATGCCATTAGGCATTAAAAAATTGTATATTTTTACACATTATTAATCATTAACATGAATTTCAAAGAGAACAAGAAACACAAAACAATGAACCCCTCGTGCTTAAAAGCGTGTGAATACGAAACAGGTGTGATGGGAAGCAATTAAGGTAATACAGGCGTGCTAGAGGAGAGGAACACAATCTGGTATTCATAACGCTTTAGGGACGTCATAAAGGCACGAGTCTGGGAACTAGATAATGTCCACATGGTGTACTACGCCATTTATGCATTTCATTTATTTTTCACTTCTCCTAAAAAGGGTAGATTAAGTAAACTAGCAAAGATAATATTAAAAAATGTTACATATTACTCTTTGAACCTATTGCCATAGTTCGTATATATTATGGATATGTGAAATCTGTGTGACTTAGTTGTTTTTGTTTGATGGATGTTATTTAGAAATCTCGCGCGAAGTCATATTTTGTGAGGAAATGAATAGAAGGCTCAGATGGCAACCAAGGACTTATCCAAAATCCCAGCGGTAGAACGAACCACGGGAGAAACGGGAGGAAGGTGGGGAAGACAGGCAGCAGAGAGTACACGTGGGCGAGGAGGATAAGTTCGTCTCAGATAAAGTCACTGGATCGTTGGAAACTAGCGACATTGCCTTCCATGTCTGCCAGCCGAACACAAATATTAACACACAGACGACCAAAACATTGCAAGGCGATTGGCTAATTGAACTCTGTTGCTCTGGCAGTCGCCATTTCGACCCCTTCGAAGCTTCGAGTGTTTCGTTCTAATTCAGACGCACCAAGATCACCCTGAAGCGTCATCGTTCTGAAGGCGTTCATCGCCAAAATAAGCGTCTTTGGCACTGTGTATGCAATCAACTTATCAATCATCACTAGTTCCACGAATCTCTTACAATTATATTCTTTATGCGTAGTTCAAAACAGGAAAATGACAATGCCTGCAATCATTGACACCGCATACGGTAACGGTACGAAGATGTACGCCTGTTTCACCTGTGGGTGGATAGCAAAATCTCGGTATACAAGAAACGTCTCTAAAAAGCAACCAGTCATCAGCGAATTTAGATCGGCTTATCAAGAATGGAAAGGTCAAGGATAAATTGCTCCTTTCCTGAGAAAAAATGGCGATACGGGGAGATCGGCGCCACTTTCTTACGATTCAGTTACTTTATCCTTCAAGAAATATTCCTAAGTGAGACTGCTCACGGCGCTTTAAGTCGGTCAACAAACAAGGCCTTGCCCATTGTGTCTTTTTCATCGCGGCTTGTCGGCGGTTACCGGGGATGTTTGTTCGCTTCAGTGGGAGATCAGCGACACAAAAATGTGTGGTGTCGCCAGACAAAAATCGGTGTCTGTCACTCTAGAAGGACGAGTCTATATTTGCTACTTGTTGTTTGTAAACTTGTTGCTCGCAAAATATATTCCTAGAATTCTCCTGAAATCACCAGATCCAATTTGGCGTACATTCTTTAGCATTGTAAGGGCATTCATAAAACGCTATAGGGTCTACATTACCCCTGGCACAAGCTGGTTTACACCCTTATGGGTGTAAAACATTTTATTGTGCAACGTAACACTGGCTTGTGACTATATGCAGTGTTCAGTGTTTTAGTCAAGTTATTGTACTATTCCACATTTTGATGCATTTACATTGCCCTGAGGACATCCTAAGTATCGCCTTGTTAAGTTTTTTTTCTCAGTTTAGTTGCTCCAGGGTACAAACATACCATAATCGATTCCATTCTTATTCTGAGGCATAGCAGCTTCTGAAGTATTGATTGAGGAGAATTCTAGCAAAAATAACAGCTACAAACAAAATCATCCGGCGTTCCAACTTTGATTGAAAACGTTAAAAACGCAAACCAAGAACGGCGAAGAAAAAGAACACACACGACACAGACAGGCGCTAACTTGCAACAGATATTTTTTTCCATTCAGTCACACCAGCGCACATGCACGCACAAAGACACCCCTCATGCCTCCATTTCAGAATAAAAACCACAAATGGCACAATTCTACACGCGTTTTCAAATCCTAAGTGATACGCGTCTCGACGAAACCGTCCAGAAAGGAAACCTCTCTGTTAATAAGGACAATAGATGGCGTGCTGACAGAGTTGTCACCCGATGCTCTGATAAAAAAGGCCTCAACCATATCTCTTTTTGTCTTGTTACTGGCTCTTATAGTAAACATTGTTAGCAGTGAAGCTCAAGATGCCCCCCGACTTATTATGGATCGCAAGTCAATGCTCACGCGCCATTTCATTAAGTCATTGCCTTTGAGCGATATCTTGTAGTCAACATTCTATCTGAAGGCTGTAAATTGTGTGACGTGCTTCTTTGAGCACTGGACACGCTTCTCTCTTGTCATCATAAAACAAACTTTTCCCAAATTGCACGGCGCAAAAAAGACGTTAACTTCGTATTTCACACCTATCTTTAGATTGTGTGACACCCTAAGCAAATAAGGAATCACTGAAGTCTAATTTCTTGACTTTGCATTGTTGAACACCATCTGTGCTGGTGTTGCGCCTCATTTTTTTAAAGGGCGCATTCACACGCACTGTAAACCAAGCAGGAGGGTAACCAACATTGTTTAAGCGCTATATTTGATGATTAAAACTGGTCGCTCCTTCGGTATGGCAACTTTATGACAAGGCAGCCTGAAGGCAGAAGCAAGTGATGCCTCTTTTTAATGACTTTGAATGAGCACTCTCAAAAGAGAAAGAAAAAAAAAAGCTTTTCCTCGAAGGTGGTTTGTACCACCAGCACACGTGACTCACAAAACACAAGCTGGAGATGAAAATGAACTGGATGCTCTTTTCCCTGGGACGCTCCAAGGTGACCTTTAGGCTGTCCGACAGGGCTGCAAACAAATTGACAATCTTCGTAACCCATTCGCCTGGTGCTTCTGATTAGCTTAGGATTTGGGATTTGGAATTGTGTTATTTGTAGTTTTTTAATCTGAAGTGGACACATGAGTGGACTCTTCGTTCGCGCATGAGCGATGGCTTGATTGACTGGGAGAAAATATAAGTTGCAGGTTAGCGCCTGTCTGTGTCATGTGTGATTTCTCGTTCGTCCTTGTTGTTTTGCGTTTTATATTTTTAAAACATCATAAACCAGCTAGCTCAAAACAAATTTTTAGATAAAAATCTCTAGCGGTAAGGAGACCTAGAAAACGCAAATAAACCCTGAAAAACTTAATGTGGTGATTTGTACCCGGCACACCTGCTGCTAGCTGGAAAACAATGCACACGCTGTCTGTGGAAAGGAAACGTAAACAGATTGTTTCAAACTGTTTTTAATATAAAAAAATTCTACCTTTGATTCCAGATATTTCTTTTCCTTTCCCAAGCGGTGGGAAGGAAATGCCCGTCTATATAGAACAGCATGGAAAATATTGGAATAACACAAAAGAACATGACTTCCGCACATCGAAGAATATTCCTTGGTACCAAAAAGATCCCGCATTCTCAGACGACATGTTTCAGGTAAAAGTTGTGTGGTAGGTGATTTCAGAAGCAATGGTAAAGAGATGCCTTTCTTTCACGAAATTGGCCTGTTCACCCCGAGTTTCTAACTTCTTTTTACAATTTATCTTATATCTAAATAACACGAAGATAATATTTTTATGGTATTGGTTATGACTTAGAAACATATTTTTGGAGTTGAAAAAAAATTCGGATTCTTTTAAATCCATAATTGCCCTAGTCTAACATATCAATAATCCACTTGGATTATTGATATGTTATTGTAGTATGTGCGTCGTATTCAAATATTCGAAGAAGCTTATCGTAAAGTGAAACATATTTTTAAAAAATTGGTCAATTTTAAGCTAGTTGCATTGAAATCAAGATATATTGACAGCGAAAGAAAGTTGCTATGGGAGATCAGTGTTTTTCTTTAGTATTGCAGTACAGATAATATGCCTGCTGAGAGTAGCATGCTAAGCTAACGTGCAGTAGGAATTACGTCAAGGTACTCCAATATAACTTTATCAGAACTGAAACCAACTTTGAATGGCATAGCACCAAGGCACGAAGATCGACTTTCTCTCATCGAGTTTCATTTTCCGCTTGAGTGGCATATCGACTTGCAGGTATTCACGATGCTCTCACACATAATAGTTACGATAGGAAAAAGACATACAAACGTAAAGATGCTGAAGTCAACGTTTCAATGCGATCAGAAACGGAACAGAGTCAAAAAGAAAGAGTGATTTTAACACCTAAATATCACCCACAAACTGATTAAGTATATTGCAAGTACTTCTCAAAACGCAAGCTTATGCTGCACGGGAAGAAACCAAGAAAGTAGCTCGTTGCTTATTTAGAATTCCGATCGATTTAAAAAAAACAAATTAAAGCGACAAATTCAATAAACTGCGGACTGTTGGTGAGAGTGTAGGGGACTTCTGATTGAAGCTATTTTAACGGAAAGTATAAAACGGATTTGGGTATGCCGTATGAATAAACCCTCTGCTATTTTTTCCTCTCATGGACTAATACTTAAAACCGAATAAGAAATAGTAGATAGATAATTAATCAAGAAATATAAATTACTATAAGAATTGCATTACGAAATTATAAATACTCAAATCTTATTCCAATGGATGCACAGAAGTATCGGCGCTAATATTTTCCCTATATTTAGTTCTTACCAACCCATTGCAGATATACCGAAAGCTTAAAGTTAAAAGTTAATTTGTGATTGTATTGCTTCGAGAAACTAGTCTTAACCTTTTGCCACTGAACTTAGTACAAAGCAGGCTATAAACCGGCTCCAGAAAATGTTTTAATATTTGGACTCCATAATAGACTTGTTAGTTAAAATCTGATGACACTTGTCTGGTGCATATCTCCAAGACTCTCAAACATTCATTAACATAATTTTTAACCTTTCTCTTCGCTATGCCTAATACGTCTTAATGCGTTATTTTTTTTAGATACCGCCTTCTATGCATTGTTACAGCTATACAAATCTCAAGAAATTTCCTGCAATGCCGGACTCGTTTAGTTTCAGTCAAGAAGAAATTGGCTTTAACTTGAAATCCACAGGATTCCTGGATGGAGGTTTCTCACCCCTATCCTTCAAACGAGTGAGTGGAAAATATTTTTATCTCATAGACTTTATAACAAGTTAAGCTAATTTTCGCTTGAACTTAAGCTGCTTAAGCCGCAGACCTCAATCTGCAATTTGTAAAAAAAATAACCACACTTATTAATGGATGTCAATCTATTTTGAGCCGCATGGACGATTTGTTTTTTGCTTTGAATTAAAACAAATATTATCTGAACAAATTATCTTATATTATTTCGACTTTTCTATCCAAACTATTTTGTGATGAGATAATTGCCATGGTCAGCACTTCAAGGTCAACTTGTGTTTCTGCATTACCAAAGGATAACATTTCATTCAAACGTACGCTTCCATTCACGTGAAGGATGCCAGACAAGTCAGTAGGGCTTCAGCTTGCACGTCAATGAGCGCGGCTATGTTTGCTTTAGAGGCAGGGAGGTATTCGTTAATTTAAAACTTTGAAGCTTCTGAAACCGCTTTGCTGAAATTCTTGAACAGAGTGCTTTAATAAAGTGACAAAGCACGAACGTTGTCGAAGCTGATAGAAAGACCTTGAAACTGAACCTACTGGAATCCTTAGAGTGATAGACGACATTTCAAGAAGATATAAACCTTCTTTAAGGCAGGTCATTATTTGGTCACTGGATTATGGTGTGTAGGAGAGAAAGTAAAAGTAAGATTGTCAAGTAGGGTGATATTAAAAGAGCATAAAATAAGGTCGTCTGAGCCCAATAAAATTATGACTCAAACACATCTAGCTAGTGCGACCATCAATAAGCGGGAAGTTAATACATGTAGAACAGGAACTATAATCCGTCTCACATTAGGTCGGACCGCAGCCAGCGCTACATTTAGGGGGAGCTAATCAAGTGGAGCCAAAATTTTATCGCTAAGACGCTTAACGTGTATGTGAATTTTTTTTTTTGGGGGGGGGAAGGGGGGGGGGGCTTTTTAGTGTACCAATCACGCACAGTGACTGCGGCGTGATCCTGCGCCTTTTATGTTCATGATTGCTTTTCCCGTTGGCGGCAAAACGCACAAAAACGACGAGGACCTTTGGCGACGCTTTCCTTTTTTTTAGGCTGCTCGATGAATTCGTTCCACTGTCTGTAGCTTTGGTTTAGGTCGAAGATCTCTTGCAAATACTAACATGGACATTATAGGCAGGGCTCCAAGTTTGCTTTTTCAAATAAGACCTACGGTGAGAGAGAGAGAATAAACGTCTCTATTACGAGAAAGCGATGCGGATTAGCTAACAAAAGCATCACAGAGATTTGTAAGTGGATAAAAATCAGAGAACGCTTGGCATAAATTTGTAAAGTGAAAATAACGTGCTATATAACAAAATGGCAGCAAACTTTGACCTCAAAGTTTTATCATGCATAAAATGCAGTATTTAGGAGCGACTGTATCACATGTTACGGTATACATTAAACGGATGTTCCGGGATTAAATACCTAATATTATTTTCACTTTTGGGGACACTGAATTGGTGTGACACATGACCAGTGAGGAAGAGGTGGAATGGAGTTAACTGTGGAGGGGGAGGGGGCATTGCGGGATTATGAGAAGAAGGTATTTGAAGAGCGAAAGGCAAGGGAGGTGATAGGAATGGGGAAACTGAATTGGTGTGTCATGTGACCAAGGAATGGAGAGCGGGGAGAGGGTAATGGAGGAAGAAATCGAGGGCTCCGCAATTAAATGGGGGAGAGATTCGAAGAGAAAGGAAGGGGGAAGGAGAGCTGGGGGATGAAAGGAGATGTAGGGAATGGGAGGTAGCTGAAAAGTGATTAGAGGTATGAATAGAGAGGGAATTGGTATGGTCACGTGACGTATATTTCCCCACTCTAGCGGAAAACTTAAGGTGTCCTTGCCATTCGGCTACATGGCATCAATTTTCCCGCCAAATTTAGTAGGGAAACAGAATTGGCGTATAGGTCACGTGACTCCATTTTTTTTTGCTAAATTTAGCGGGGTAACTAAACTAGCGGATAGGTTCGTGACGTCACATCAAGTGAAATCAAATTTCCGCAAAAGGTAACAGGGAATGTATATTAATGTATAAGCTACGTGACGTCAGGTTAGGTAGCATCAATTGATGGCACGTGACCTAAACATCAATCTAGTTTTCCCATTAAATTTAGCGGGAAATGCACAAGGGGACGAACCGACGGAAGGACTTACAAGTTATGAGACTCGGAGAACATAATGTATAGTTTATTCGTATTATAAACAAAAACCAAGAAAACGTACATACATCCAAATAGAACCAAACTGGGAACCCCTGATATTGTTTCCCTTTAAACAAACATTGCGATCGTTGAAGGAATAGCGCCAGTTCAACTTCCACTACGGTATTACACAGTAAAATGTGCAACCCACCAGAGGTTTGCGTTTCGCTCCTAAATTGTGTATTGTATAGAGGCTTAAAATGAAGAATGCATACATTTTGTAAACAAAGGAGACATATACGGGGTTCACTTTACATAAACCTTTGCGCGTATGTCTATAGATTATCGAAAACACTTACACTTCCATAAGTTTCCGTCCAGGTATCTCACGCACCTCGGTTACATTGTCCATACAACAATTATGGGAGAGCTATGTCCAAAAAGGTTTAACATCATTCACGACGTGGAGATGTGATTGTTTTGTTTTCAGTCGCGCACCAGTGACCTAGCTGTGTTTTGAGATTTTAGTTTTTTCTTTGTCCCTTAGTCCCCTTCTCCAGCGTTTATTTCAGTCTGCAGAGAAGTACGTTTTAGTTATCCATTTCAAAACGAACGGTTCGCCATAGGCACTGCGCATTCACGCGCAAATCATGTTTCTCTTTCGTCTTTTTTTTTCTCTCGTTTAGTTCGATAGAATTGTCGCCGGAACCGTTGGCGAGTGGAGGAAATACTAGGTCGACATTTATGTACACAGTTCTTGAACTTTCAACTTGTAAATGTTACCTCGGTTGTCCTCTTTACGTCAGTGGCGCGCTGTCAAACGTAAGCCACGGATCTGCACGCTAGAGAGCGTTGTTTATGTGTACGATAAGATGGCGCTGCGGGTCAAACATAATCATCATCATTCTCTAAGCGGTTACGCCGGTGTTCCGGTTTACTAAAACACGCCAAACTGCATACCCGGTTTCAGGGACCGGTACAGTTGAGCCACTCACAATTTCGGAACGCGTGCTTCCGAAACGACTCCCGAAAACGCCCTAAACTGTCGCCGCGCGGTAACTCGTTGAAACCAGTAGTTTATTTAAACAAAGTATATTGCTCAGTCCTACGTTAGTGCATGAAGGTTGCTGGATCATTCACAAGACAATGAGCAAATCGATCCAATTATAATTTTAAAAATATCTATCCCGCTTTCAAGTTCGTCTACTCCTCGCGCACCTCGTGGGTTTGTTTACCCTTCAGATGTGCCTTCTTACTTTTGTTTCCCATGACCTCAACCAATGACGGAGTGCGCTTGACTGCTTCTCCATCCCGCGTTTACTGCTTGTTTTCTACGTTGCCCTTTGACTGGCGCTTCTCCCTGCGTTCTGACATGGACATAACTAGGAAGGGGGGAGAAATTGCCACCCCCCTCCCTTTAACCCCCCAAGGTCACGTTTCTTTTTTATTAAAACATTGATATACTCTAGAAAAAGTTTGGTTTTTGGTGAAAGCAAATATCGCGTCCACAAAATAGATCTGAAAAACCTCTCGGCCATGACGTCACCTTCCAGTTAACCCCTCTCCCCATCCCCTATCTTCTCCCCCAAGCATGACCGATAAATCCGCCACGTTGTTCCGATTTGCCAAAAACGGATTTTGGAACACTTGATCCACGTATCCTATTAGTCTGACAAAACACTATTAAATCACTCTGTAACATTAGTTATTTCTTCAAAATAACAGTAACAGTATTTTGTTACATTTTCGAGGCGGTGACAAACCTAAGTAACGCGTAAAGTTTTAACAAACTAACGAGTAGTGCTATTTCGTCACTTATTTTTGGTACCGGGTACGACATTACTCCGAGGTTAGATACATGGGAGATTTATTGTAAGTAAAATCAGGCAAAAGTAAGACGAACGTGTTATGGCGTATTTAATGGAAGGATATAAAACAAGGTAGAACAACTTTATTCACATGTTTGGCAACGGTTCTTGAAAGCTGCAGGTGAAAAACAAGCTTATTACTAAATTTATCGTCCGAATATAGATGTCATCTCTAATTGCGAAATGAATTGAAAAATTATAGCGCGTCTTTCTTCAACGAAGATAAAATCAGATATTTGCGAAGTACTTATAATATTTTATACCACTTTTTATTATTACCTTTATTTTTGGTATTATTTTAAAAGTGTATACATATCTCTTCGTTCAAGATTTGGTATTCAGACAACCTCACATATGCAAGAGTTGACATGAAGCCATCACAAGAAGACAAAGAGGGACCTATTTTAAAGAACGTCAAGGGAATAAATGGACAAGTCTCAGTCGTCCTCGATTACACCTACGGTAAATAATTCTTGAGAATTATAAATATTGCTTTTATACAATTCCCATAGATTCAAGTTTATCTTAACTTTGCACTGATGAGGACATACGAAAAAATAAAAGCGATAAAGATCTGCATTTTAAATTTAATTTCCAACAATCATACATTATTTAAAAGCATCAGCGGCAGACATTACACAATTTTTTAACTGTTATCACGGTTAGAGAACTGACGTATTTATTAGACATGTCAGAGGAAAACACCATTTGCATGCCATGACACAGTACACTAAAAAAAGAGTTTCATAAACACTCATTTACTACATACTTATCGGGCCCGGCGCGCATTCTATGAGAAAGTTACTGTCACGATTAATTAGCTATTTAGTTAAAACAAGTTCGTCAGATTCATAATTACAACTTTCATGGGTCTTATTGCATAAGATTATATACAAAAACAGCGTAATTATGCTAAAAGCATTTTAAGTCCATACCTTGGGATAATCGTCAGAAACATTGTGCTTTGATGTAGCCTGATTTTGCAGAGAGGAAGATCGCATAAATTGCTACTCATCATGATTTGTAGACGGCTACTTTCGTACTCCTTGAGTGTACGATATTTTGTAAGAAAGAGCACCGGCATTACGCTATCGTGAGTGAGGTAGCGGAATAAGTATCTATGTACTAAAACCGCAATACCAAAGCGAATGCTTCGTCCTGAAATTAATCACTGAGCGTAGCAAGCGCGCTAGAGACGCTATGACTTTACCAAGTTGGTGCTGTTTAACCATGCAACAACATTGGCCCTTAAAGTTGCCTGGAGTCGGCTGGAGTCGGCCACGAGAAAAGCACCTTCCACGCATCGTCGTAGGCTGAACTTAATATACAGGTTCTATACGCTGTTGGTAAACTAGGCTGCATAAAAGCAAAATTTCTCCACAAAAAAAAATCCTATTTCAAGCTACCTTCTTGTAGACTATAAAACTTACTTTAGTTTCTAATGTACAAGCTAAAGAAAGTTGAGTGATTCACAAGCAGTTGTGAATTTCAATATAACCTCTCAACTACTGCAGATTATTCCTTCCTTGAACCTCTGTCTGATACTTCTAAGTTTCCAGCAAAACTCATACATATCATGATCTCTTATTTTTAAAGTCTGTAGCGACTAGTAACGGATGCCCTTTAAACATTCCATGATCGTTTGAACTGGATGTCGCTTGGCCATAAACGGAATTTGTCGTCCGTTTTATTAAAATGAGCGTTGTGTGGTCAATAATCCTTCGCACACTTACTATTGTCGCGCTTGCTTTTGTCTGGTCGCGAATAAAAGCTTTAAACACATGCTTGGCATGAAATGGGCTTCAAGCGGAATGCTTACGAGTTGACAATATGGAGTGTTGAGCTAAATAAAAACAAACAACTTAAGATCAGAAACTCACAGCAAGACAACCCACAAAATCTTTGCAAATGGCTTCTGTTAAATTATATAAAATAGACAGCATATGTTCCAGAATATTGCTTAGTCAGAAGTTCTAGATGCCGATGTCTTTCCTACCTTAGCTGTCCGCTCTATCTAGGTTTAAAATTCGTACCAATGGAACTAGAGACACTTGTGATATCGCTGGCAACTAAAATATTCTTGATCTTTTAGATGATCCATCTTTTATGTTATTTTGCCAATTCGTGGCTTTTTTTTTCGCCGTTGTCCGACATACTTGCGAAATCTTGCATCTTTATTCTATAAGCTGATAAAGCAAACACATTTAACGTGTTATTTACAGAACCTGATGATCGGAATGTCTTTGAGATGTGACGTCGCTGGTTCATATCTTATTGAAACAATTTAACCTGATTAGTGTGATTGCAAACTAGAAATCTTGAATGTGCGTATGAAAGTAGTGAATAGAATACGCGACCCCATTTCAGCACAGTTCGTATCTAGATTATCTAGATTGAATCAAATGGTAGGTAGGCCAAATAAACTAAAAGTAGACAAATTGCTTTTTTTTACAATTTAAAAACGTATTCCAGCAATATCTTCTCGGATATATGAAACCCTTTTATTTATCTTTAGACTTATGATCAATCGTAGAAATATTTTAGTAATATATGCCGTAACGTGTTCACTGTTATGCAACTGAGTCTTTAACAGAGCTTTAATACGGAAAGATACATTTTTAATATCGCTTATTTAAACAATTTTGACTTCTCTCAGATTTGGCCTTTCTAGCACATTCTGCAAACGACGAGTGCCACGTTCTGCCAATTGACAATGACTTCTTTCTTTGTAACGGCGAGGCGAATAAGTGTGAAAAAATTGACCCGGAGAAGCTTTTCGGAATGACTGGTAATTTATCGTACAAAGGAAAGGTGAAACATAATATTCTGTCAGTTTATTCACTTTCGTGCACAGGTCCATCTCCGACCCTCTCCTGGCATTTCACATTATATTAAAATAAGTGTCATTTTCAGATTGTTCATTTGTGCGTTAAATACCGTTCTCAACGCCGTGTTTAAACTGAAATCCTAAACACATTCTTCAATTGCATTTAGAACAATGCATTCTTACTTGCTCGTAATTTCAATCTTTTCAATGATAGCAGATTTGGAGATAATAAGTTAACCAAAGTTAGGCGAATCTACGGAACAAATTATTAGGGCGCGTTCACACACCTGCGTTTATAACACCGGTCATACACTTCCAACCGAGTAGGAGCGAAAGAATCAAGACCGGTTTTTAAGCCTCTTTCGACGGCGGAGGACCGGATGCGCTGCTACGGAGCAGGTCCTACGACATCGCAAAAGGCTTAAAAACCGGAATTGCTTTTCTCCGTCCTACTCGGTTGCAAGTATGTGAACGGCACTTAACTGTGACCGACTCAGCTACAGCTGGTTTTTAAGCCGTTGTACACACGGTCTTAAGCACTAACGAGTGGCTTGAAAACCTCTTGTAGCGCCGTCAATTTCAGTGAAACGCAGGTGCGTGAACCAGCCTTTACATTAAACCTCTACTATCACGTCAATTTTGTTTTCTCGCCAGTCCACTGGCATGGGAAATTATTGACGCACACGATCAACGACTTTATCCAATAACTTTCATCGAGCACATTTCTTTCTATCGACCACTGATTTTGTGTTCACAAATTTATTCTGCCATTTGCGAAAAGACTGACATGATGGTGTAAGTTCATAGTGCGTTTTTTCATTCATTTGAGTCCGTGTAGCAGACTTAACTACAAAGAAACAAGAAAAGCACTGCTCCTTTTTGTGTCTGAGGAAGTTATTTCAATAATCAAAACTTCTTACTGGGATTTCTTTTTTTTTAACAGAAAAAGAATACGACTAAAATCTGCACAGCTACTTAACCATCTGCAATACACAAAATCTGATTGTACTAAACATTGCGCAAGGATGTTGCACGGTGATAAAGTAATTTACCGGTACCGTTTATAGTTCAGGCATAGTCAATATTGAAATAGCGCAACTCAATCGAACTTCAGTTAACCACTGCAGGAGCAACAAAATTTCTATACGCAACATTTTTCCTTTCTTACAATTTAAAGCTAAACACTTTATTTCTATTGTACTTGGGACTCTTCTCATTTTGCATAGTTTGCACATGTCAACGCTGACAGATGATGCGAACACTTTTGCGGTCATTTTGTATGATGGTGAAAAGAGTTTCCATGTCCCTCTCGAACAAGAAGCGAGTGTAATTCAATACTAAACAATTTTCTTCTTCAGATTTGCATTTTAATTACACAACATTTTCTGAGCGTTTGATTTTTTTACCTTAGTAAAGTCCTTTTTTGTCGTTGTTTTGTTTTCTTTGTTTTTAGCATTCATGCCTTTTGTCGTAATATATAAGGAGTCAATCCAAAGGCATAGAACCTTTTTTGTAACATACACCCTAAATAAAGTAACGGTTCCTTGCAGTAATGGTGTCTATCACGGCGCTCGAATGATACAAACGAAGAGTGATAACTAAAAGTTTAATTACCTAAAGTCGGATTTTTTTTTGTGTGTGGTCATATCTGCTTTGGTTGGTACATTGGAATTGGATTCTGTGCACCTTCATCCAAATATACAATCGGAGCTCTTAGGAGTTGAAATGCAATGTTAATCCCCCCACTAAATAATGGCGTGGTTTGGTTGTCTACAGTCCACCATATCAAAAATGAAGGAATACAGCGCCTAAAGCTGCGTGCCCGGCGAGATGTCGAAGTTTGGCATGCACTTCTCACCACCAATTATCCAACACGACGCTATCAGATCGACTTGCGATTACTCGCTACCCACGCCCGCTGCGGAGGCTGATGTCATTTGCTTCGCACTTTTCGTCTTAGTTTTGGCATCGCTCTCTTATGGCTTGCATTTGGCAGAGGATGTCACGAATCAAATTTTATTTGTTTGAATTCAAACAGCGATAGTATTATTTGACGACGGGCAACAAATGTACAATTGCAATGTACCAGCAAAATCAAATATGTCAGGTGTGAGTTAGCAAATTTAGGCAAATAATTCAGTAATTATCCCTTTATGCTCGTAGTCTGACGTCCACGGAGGTCAATAAAGTCATCTCGGAGGAACACTAACGTTATTTCAGGTGTCTTTTTTTATTAAATTCAGTTTGAGTGTAACTCCTCGTTACCTTTCTTTTTTCTTTAGAGGAGTTTAAACTCATTTCTTATTATTGTGTTTCTTCGTCGGTGACTGGGTATCTATAACCTGTTCAAATAGCCATTCCTTTTTTTAACTCTTTGCTCATATCGACGTATATGGATGCTTTTCATTTTCAATTTTGGTTATTTTTGGTACTGCTTTGTAAAGCGCAGCTCTTAGGCGCCCATTTCCGCATATAGCGGCGTCGGCGTCGGCGTCGCCGTTGGCCTGACCGTAATATGCAAGAACGGGCGCCTGAGAGTCCCATACACTTGTGCGCGTTGCATTATGAAACATCACATACCTATACTCCATTTCAGTTCCCAGCTAAATTTAGCGGAGAAACTGAATAGTTGTATAGGTCTCTGACGTCTCACAATGCAACGCGCACAGTGTCGCATTATGGGGCACCCACCGTACCCTCCTCGTCCTTTCTGGCCTACCCTCGAACCTTAGACAAAACTATATATATATATATATATATATATATATATATATATATATATATATATATATATATATATATATATATATATATATATATATATGTGTAGTTTATAAAATAAAGAAAAAGTTGCATGCATAATATGAATGAAAATTACAGATGTTTATGCTTCTCTGTAATGCGCAAAAGGAGCGCAGCTTTTGTGGTGTCAAATTTAGTGATTTAAAGTTGTAAATATACCGCGTGGTTCCTTTTTTGTTTTCTTTTTAGTTTTAACAGATCTGTTTAAAAAGAGCCGTAAAAGTTACGCTTATACGGTTTGTGCAGGTGAGTTATACGGCCAGAGGTACATAGTATAAGGATGCTAGTCGTAACGATCAGTCGGTTAATTAATTAATATTCATTAATTAACTTTTAAATAATGAAAATGGATATATGGTTTTGATTAGAAACTTGCTGGGCGTCATTCAAAAACCACTAAAGAAACTCTTTTTTAGGTAGATATAAGACAGAGGGCAGAATTTTATGGCGTTCTGTAACAGCGCCCAGTTTGGACGTGTTTCTAGGTTTCGGTTCCTTACCGAAGCTAATTTTTGCGGCCGCGATCCTGCTCCCTGGTGGTCGCTGCTCGAAGCCACCCCCTCGGCTCCCTGGTAGGATCGGGGGAAGTAGGGCGTACGTTTAGCCGACTGATCGTTACGATTAGCCCCCTATACTACGTCCACCTTGTCATATAACTTACCTGCACAAACCGCAAAAAATATAACTTTCACGGTTTCTTTTTAAACAAATCTGCTAAGTTTAAAAAGAACAGTATATATATATATATATATATATATATATATATATATATATATATATATATATATATATATATATATATATATATATATATATCAGTGTGTCGAACCGAAAAAAATACGGGTTCGGTTACGGTTCAGGTTCAGGTAAATTTATTTTGTTCCGGTTCAGTTCCGGTTCGATTAATGCGATCCGCGAACCGGTTCGCGAACCGGTTCGGGGCGCTGAACCGGTTCGCGAACCGGTTCGGAAATTATAAATGACAAATTGCAACATCAAAATAAATTACAAATAAAACATCTGAAATCAGCACATACGAAACGGGATACATCGTAGTGTAAGGCTCAGGGATTTCTACCAGGAATGGTTTTTTTATGTGCACTCAAAGGTTACCTCACCGACGTTTACGCATTCGGACTTCATCTAATTGGGTCCGACGCAGTAGCTGTAAAATCCGCGACCTCCTTACAAACCCACTTACAAGTAGAACTCGCTAACTATCCCGCCACCTCGGCGTCTAAGCAATTGAAGGAACAGTGGGGAGAAAATACAGCTTTCTTTATTTGAACTAGCCTTCGGTAACTCAAATCAGACCCTTAAAGAAGTTTTCATTAAACAAGATACGGAGTATAAAAAACACTTCGCCGAACGCAACGCCAGAAGGACGTAATAGGATAAATATTAAAATAGAAGAGTGCCGTCAGTTGACTGCACTTAAAAAATAAATGGCATTGATAGCACATTCATTGTCAACAGCGCGTGGCCGAACCGTTTGGACATCAGCCGGTAACTGTTATTTTTTTCCGGTTCAGTTCCGGTTCGGGTTCATCGCGATAACAATATAACGATTCGGGTTCGGGTTCAGTTCCGGAAAAAAATACCGGTTCGGTTCCGGTTTTCGGTTCGGTTCGGTTCCGGTTCGACACCCTGATATATATATATATCTTAAATTCCTTACCACGTTACATCACAGAATCAAAATACCTCGAGAACTGCCCCTTGATTTCCCATTACAGAGAACCGTGAACGTCTCCCATTTTTTTTTTCATATTATCATGCAACATTTTCTTTATCATTATAAACTGGTCCTGCTTGAACAATCATATTTGTATTTTAAAATAAATAAATAAAGCCATATTCTTATCAAATATTATACTCAAAATTATTAATAAAATATTAAGTTTAAAGAAAAGCACATGTTAAACGAGCGGAAAAGTCTGTTACAGATGTCAGCTTCTGTTTGTCTTCCATCTTTAAAATCTGTGAATCATGCATGCTGGAAGCCGTCACTACAATTTAATATATACCTTTTTATTGTGTTGCAGTATAGGGAAAGTGGTATCGAAGGAGAGACTTGGTCCCGGCTAGAGGTTGAGGAAAAAAATTCAAAAATAAAATCAAGACACGAGGTTTCTTTTCAAGTCGTGAGTGCCCAAATCGCTTGCTGGTTGTACCCCTTGCATTGAAATATTAGCATTGCCATTACAAACAGAAATAAAAGGTTGTAATATTTAACTTTCTCAAGTATGTTGTTTAATCTACCCATTTTCCACTCCGCAATAAAACCGTATCTAATAATAATAAAACAAGAAGCTACCAGACAATCTCTCATCACCATAAAGAAAAAAGTGTTTCATTTTAATGTTTTATACTTTGGGTCAGAGGCATGTGTTGGCACTTGTGAAATATCTCTCGTTCTTTGCTCAAATAATACCGCAATATGGGCGTTAGTTATGTGTGCAGTGTACTCGTAATCTTTATTATGACTAGAGATGTAATTACTGTGTTAAAAGTATCAGGATTGCTAGTAATTCGTTACCTTTCTTGTAAGTTGTAGTAGTTTGCTATTTAGCTGTAAACGGTATATTTATTTTACTTCAATTTGTTTTTGAGTGACATGTGATCGACAAGCATTGAGCACATGTATGTAAATCCATCAAAAAATAAATATATGCCGTGGGTTCCGCGCTTACGTGATGACTAAATGGGGTCAAAAAACTAGTGTGGTGCCTTGAGAAAGGACCATAATTGCACATCAAGTACAGTTGGGAGGCCTGCTTGTACATTCAACTTCTGGAAAAGAATTCATCTGTAGCGGAGTGAGAAAAAATGAAAGGATACAAAATGTTACATTGAGAATATAGCCAAAGAGCTATTGTAACGAAATGAGAGACTAACGATTGAAGAGGATGCCAATGCTATCGGGCAACGTCAAGTTTAAACTTTGGCAGAAACAGCGACACGTAAGGGTAGAAATGAAACAGTAAAACTTAGTAATAAAGACGTTCAGCTCGCAAAGACACAAATTTAAAAAAAGAAAAGCACAACGGGACATTACCACGAGTGCAAGCCAGGCAACCTAAACATGAACTAACAATTACGGGACGAAATAAAAATCAAATCAAATAGTATACATTAATGCATTGAACAAATCTTCCGAGTACTATTACTAATACGGAGTTAGCAAAGACGAAAATATACCAAAACAAAAACCTTCAGACTGCTCAAAACATTAATCGGAACTGAGCCCGTGGAAGGAAGTTTGCTGAAGCAAAACACCCGTAAAATAAAGAGGCTTGCCTTTCAAACATTGAGTCCTTTTCGATTCAACCAAAACTCATGAAGCTTGCTGGATGTTGATGCGAGTATATAAAGGCTCTGTCGTCTTTATCACCAAACATTAGATGCAATAACACCGCGCTACACCAACGCACCCGCATTGCCAAAAAGAAACTTCTTCCTATGGCAGGTCCCGCTGTCGCTGTTTGAGTGCTTTGAAATAACCTCTAAAAAACGCGAAATATGTAGTATTTACCGTGCAACAGAGAACTGCCCTATATAGAAGCGCCGTCAGGAGGACGGAAGAATATTTGTGTTACGATGAGCTTGACGAAGCTTAATTGAGTTGTTTGGACATCGCTTTGTCTTGGCATGACCAAATCATTCAAGTAAGCCCAAGGAGGCAGACGTCGGTGTATATTTTTTTATTCTACATCATGTGAAAAGCTACTATAATATGTGCTATCATTTCTTTTAGGCAACACCGGAAGTGGAGTCCAACAGTGCTAGAAAGGAATTCATTCCTATTCGACAGGCGGACTACAGAGATTCAGTGGTATGCTCAAATATACTTCCCACAACATGTAACTGCGACATTTCACACTTAGAGCTGTGGCTCTTATTAGGAGTTGAGAAATATATGTTAAACATTCTGTTGTAATTAACGTCTACTTATTTAGCTATGTTAAAGGGTGTTCCGAGAAGATATATTTACCTCTTTTCTGTGCACTCTATTGACACGTACCTCATATAGATAGTATTTCACATACAACTGATCTCAATACAGGCGTAAAAAACACATGAAATAAAAATCATTATTTTTAATAAAATTCTAACGGCGTACATCAAACCCAGAGTGAAGATTAGCGCACTAATTATCTGAAATCAGTGAAGTCACTTTTTTTATATATATCAGCCTTATCTGGAAGATTTTATTTACAGATATGTTGCCTGCCGTCAATATATTATACATCTGCTATCATTCAGACAACAATATTTTGTTCCGCGCTTTTTTTAATGTATTTTGAGAGGAGACTGATACCGAAACTAAAACGAAAAGAGCAGGGAAGTTCAACCCTGAAGTGACGTCGGCCTCGGTCCTGTGCGCGGAGTGCGAATCATCGCGAACCGGTCTGTTAGCGGCACATTATTGAAGGGTCACGTCCCGTGTGAATAAAAAATGTGCGCCATGCTCTGATATACCCTTTGGTGAGAAAATTTCGACTTGTTTTTATTCTTTTATTTTTTGTGTGGCGTTCTCGTGATAGCCTAACTTTGCCACGAACCTGTAGGCATATGTAACAACGAGTAACAAATATGGTACACTTAAAAAGCGGCAGCTACGGTGACTATTTTATTTAGTAAGTGGAATCTAGGCAGGTAATATTCTAATGATCACTCCGTACTCGTGTTATGACGTCCATCACGGTCGAACACCTTGTCACAAAGGAGCTTTCTTTTTTTCACTTTTAATTATCGCTTTTGAATATTTATTATCGATCGTACGTGAAGCGCCTTGCATACAGTTTTACTATCACAACCGCGACATTACGCGGTAATTCATAATGCAGAATTTCCCGCCATAATGTAGAACGCTAAAACCATTGGTTACATTAGTTGGGTAGGAAGCCAGAAAAGGTACTTTTCATAAGAGTGTTTCTCAAAACTGTATGTCGTGACTAGGTCGCGAGCCCCATTGACTCTAATGGGGCTCGCGACATACCGCCGGAAATCGCAAAGCTAGAGAAAAGGTAAAAAAAAAGAACGTGGTAATTTTGCGGTGCCATCGATGAAAATGAAGTACAGATCATAGCTCAAAGTCAAGCCGGAACTGAGATTTCCGGTTAGAAACTCCGCCCTCGTTTTAAGGAAGTCTGGCAAACAAGCTGACTTTAGTTACAAGTATGGTCCGTAGTGGCGTGCACTTTTATTTTCTATTTTTTATGCGAGTTGATTGACTTTTTTTATCACGCGTGCATTAATCGTCAAATAAAAGTCTAGTATCGATTTTGTGTATTACTGTACTTGCACTTGTGACAGCGCGAAAGCTTGTGAGATTGCGAAAAGCCGCGCAGAAGGAAGAAAAAGTGGCTGGTCGCGATGCAATTTATTTTAAGTTTTTCTTTTTTTATGGGTGCCGGTGTAGCAGGTTTTGTGAAGCACCGTGATAAGATATTGAACTATCAAAAACTTATGCTTCTTAACCTTACTATAATCTAATCAGTTTTGGGTGTGGACCCCACACCAACTTCCCTTCTTCCTTTCCTCGATTTCTCCCTACAAATTAGAAGGCAGACCATGGCATAATTACAATCTTAATAATTTTTCGTTTGAAAATTTGACTATTTAACAGCTTTGCACCTTTGGAGACAATGTAATCATCAGATTAATAAGCTATTTGTGATTATTCTACCTACTTAACATATCCATACTTATTCGTGCCTGAGTATGTCAATCTCAAAGTACTGAAAAAAGATTCCGCGCCAATATGGTGCTACGCGTTAATGAAGTCTAGTGGCGGATATAAAAGCAGAGACACCTTTTGATGCCAGCATATGTTATGAGAGAGCTAAAATGTCCCTCACCCGTTACGATCTATTTTGCACTTGAGAGCGCCCCTCAAACCTTTAGAATTGAGCGTTTGACTGCTGTCTACTTTGATTAAAACTCATATTAGTGTGTCTTCTTACGGAGCGTAAGCAGGAGGAAATATACTAATATTCATGTATGTTTCAGGGACATCTCATAAGTCATAGTACCGACATTTATATTTTAATTGAAATAATAAAAAAACCAGTTTTCAAAGTTGATATCGTCGTAGCCGTTCATACAGACATATCCTACTTGCGTGCGCTTTGGCAAGATTGCTCTATTATTAGAGTAGAAGCTTTAAAAAATAAGAGAAACGAAAATCAAACAGAACTTTGTACATGAAAACAAAAGTACGAACATTAAGAGAAAAGTACAGGGGTATTTAGCATAAAGAAATCGCAAATTTGCTCTAAAGAAAAGTATGTTTAGTAATGTTTAAATAAGCTTGACCTGGGGCTCTATTATTAAGGGAAGCTGCACACCAGCAACTGGCGCAATTATTACGCAAATAAATAAATAAATAAATAAATATATATATATATATATATATATATATATATATATATATATATGATGAAGAGCGGTCCCCGCTCGGAACGTCGTCGAATAAGTACGTTTTAAAGCATTTACCTCCTTTTTACGATATATATATATATATATATATATATATATATATATATATAGTTGTGTTCGAAGGCATAAATGTTTGCCTTTGCTGAACACGTATCACTACCTCTTTAATCGATAATATTACCATGCATTTGTATCAAACACACCTTACTCGACTAATCGACCATGTCTATCAAACGCGACATGGGAGCTTTGTCCTACTTTTTTCGGTGTGGTAAACAAAGGGCAAATTGCACATTCGCTAATTAATCGACAGCATAAAAAATAAAAAGCAGGGCGTGGTGAGTCCCATGAATTTTATTATCATGGGCCGACAAACACGTCGAATAGCAAAATCTCGAAGCAAGAAGCGAAAACATTATAACCTACGCTCCGCTCTTCTTGAGGTGCCAACGAGTATTGTTTTTTTTCCCATTTGAACGCATTACATCACAGCCGTATATTTTAAAACAACATTTCAGATCCCGGAGGTCTACAATCGAAACAGGAGGCCACTTGTTCGTCCTAACCTTGTGGTGTGTGTAATTACTATGCTCGATTTCTTAATTGCAGGAGAAAGATAACCAAGAGTTCAAACAACAAGTCCGTATCATAAACTACTACGAGTTCAATCGCACACAGCCAGAACTAGACGTATACGTTAAGCACCCCTGCCTTCAGCGCTACAAGTCAAAGTTATATACTCTGGAATTTGACGGTAATAATCTAAAACCTAATATGTCGTACCGGCAATGTTTATTCTCTGTTTAATGTAAAAACGAAAAATACAATCCCACGATTTCCAAAACCTGAGTCCGCGAAAGCACATAAAGTTCAAAAGAAATATCATTTTGTTTTCGCTGGTGTTGCTGATCCTCAGCCTTGCAGATTCACAGTGCGAAGCGTTCACCTGCTCGTCCGTGAGTTTAACATGACCTTTACACTGACTATGGTTTTCCAAAATAAAACATAACTATCCCAGCTTCTATATCAACCAGTGATTCTTTATACGTTACTGAAACAAACGCATGTTTAAAACAAAACAAATAAATAAGTATGCTTATTCCTTTACGCAAGCCTTCCGCTTTATGATAAGGGAACTTGTAGAATATCTTGGCATTTAATAGGACAGTAGAGCTTCTATTAAGTACCAGGACGTTGAAAGTCGTGATACGAATCGAGACAGTTGCCTAACTAATAAGAACTCGAACTGGTTATGTGAAAATATGCACAACCGCTTTGCCCTAATATTCAACCAGCTGTACGTTACCGTGCTGTTTAGACGAACAATTTTATAAAATGGGCTAATTCCATCTTCAAGGTTAGCGTACAAAACATTGGGAATTAAATGACATAAAATGGCAGTTTTAGCTATTGTAAATATCCGCCTCCTGGTGTTTTTATGACACTAACAAATACGGAATGGTTGTGGTAAGAAAAAAAAAGAACCTGAACAGGTACTTTCTTTTTACATAACTTTTATTCAGTCTGACTTCGGTGCTAAGCATATTTTTGGTCACATGTTTTTGGGTTGTAGTTCATAATTTTTATCCTCGAAGCCAATTTGTGTCTTGCTACAAAAAAGAATACATGACTGCGAGTGACGATAAGGTAATTATCCTAGTTGCTGTGACGTAATTAGATTATTACCCGTTCACAAATTTCAGTCGTTCTGTCACCGAAGACGCGCAGACGAAATAGCTTCAGCGTCACAGCTTCTCACATATTTTGTTAGTAGTAATGTATCCATAATCTTACTTTTTTTTCATCCACTCTATCTTAGGAATTTCTGAAAGTATTCGCTGAAACCGCCGGTAGACCGATAAACCGAGGGGTCGAAAACCGGCGGCTCGCGAGCTAATATTACACGGCCCCTGGCGCGCAACCAGAGTAGCCCCCCCCCCTTTTTTTTTTCTAGCAAACAGACACACTCTATTGCTAATGGTGCGAGAATTATGGTTGGTTGCAGACGTGGTGTAATTGGACGTATTCGCTCTGAAACGGCTCACCGCGAGGTCAGATTCCTGTGCACGTTCACTGTAGTGATGCATTGGGAATCAATAACTAAGGTGCCTTATCTAGTATACCTTTCGTTCCGAATCGCGATTCATACCATTGTCGATTTCAACAGATTTTGCCGCACTCATGGAGTCGCTGTGGGGATTTTAATCAAGTTACTGGTCTACATTTTGGCACAAAGATTGTAGTCCTCATTACAAAGAAAGATTGGACGGCAACCCTCAATGGTTTTCAGGTTGTCTGGGTCATTGGACATTGAATCAGAACTGTGTGGCTCTGCTAGAATGATGGAGGCTGAATCTGGACTTAAATGAGCGTAACAGTCTGCTGTGCGTTTGGACGGTTATTTTTGCGAGCTGGCTGCCTCCCGTCCACACCGCCGTCCGCATTTTTGTTTGGCCCGCTCCGTCTACGTTTTGCGGCGATTGGTCCGCTAGAGGAAAAGGTAGCCGACCGCAGCGGGCCTATACTCCGCGACAACTTTTCTTGGCAATGCAGTGGAAGGTACAGGCCCGCGTCCCCTCTCCCATTTTGAGTGTACGCAGGCTCTCCTCCTCCCCCATTTCCGGGGAGAGGAGGACAGCCCGTGCACACTCAGAATGGGAGAGGGGACGCGGGCCTGTACCTTCCACTGCATTGCCAAGAAAAGTTGTCGGAGTATAGTCGATTTGACCGCAATCGGGGAAAACCGAAAGTCCTTGAATTGGAGCTGTCTTGAAATAAGAAAAGCATAAACATCACGAAAAAAAACCTTCATCTCTAGGTTTAGCTTTTGCTGATCTTTAACATAGTCCGCACTAAAAAGACCGCAAAATCGCCTCATTTTTTTTTTTTGGTTTTTTTCCCTGGGGGGGGGGGGGGGGGGGGAGGGGGGGGAGGGGGGAGGCGGCATGTTTTCTAAATACTGTGGTCACGAGCATGTTCCACGAGGAATGGAGAATCCCCAGTCTGCGTCCTGTTTTATTTAGTGTTGGCGGCAACGCGTTACAAACAACGGCGTTACCAGCAACGCGTTACTTTTTCCCCTAACGTAGTAACCAGTCTTGTACACGTTACTTAAAAAAAGTAATCGATTACAATTACTATTACTATTGGCTAAAAAGTATTCGATTAGATTACTTGATTACTCGACGGCAAAAGTAATTGGACATTACTTAAAGAAGTAATCGTTACTTTTCCGATTACTTTATTGTGTGAAGACACATCTTTAGCGCTCATAACAATGAACTACTTCCAACCTATATTTCACATTTGCACAAGTATTGAAGAAGAAAAACTGGCTCCCTCTTCGTGGTCGTTGCACTTTCACAATGCGGACACAAGCATAGAATTCGTTTGAAGACGTTTAATGATTTGGGCGTTCGCCAGTGTGTGTGTGTGTGCGGGGGGGGGGGGGAACTAAGGGGGTTCGCTTGAGCAAGGGTTCTCGCTCAAAGTTTGCGTCGCTCATTTTATTACTCACATGTGGATGACCTCGCATGTCATAAAAAAGAGCAGCAGCTCCAGGATTTGAAACGGATCATGTGTAGTATCCATTGGCGGAAGAGATCGCCCCGACCACTTCTCAACTCGAAACATTGCTTGTCACAAAGACCACGTAGGGGAAATGGGGAAATATTTCAACTGCCTTTGTTATATTTTGCATCCGCTTTAGGCATTCTTCGGTTCTGGTTCTCCTACGGGCTGCGAGTAGGTACCCTAAGCAGGATTTTTATTTTTTTTTATTTCTGTGTATGTGCGTGAGGGGGCTAGTTTGAACGAAGGACTCACAAAGCTACATTCTGCTTCCTCAAACTTCGCCCTGAAAGGCCTTTGTCACGCACTGTGGCTTCCCTGGGGCTTCCCACTCCCAGTCCCAGCTCGAAAAAAAAAAAAAACAAAAACAAAAAAAAACGGACATTTTAGAGAAACTGTACATAGCAAGAGATTGACCTCGTTTCCAACAGCTCCGCAAAAATCTTTCTTTTTTTCCGATCGAAAAAAAAAAAGCAAATTTTATTTTTGTCAATTCATAAAAAAAAAGAAGCGTGTGCCGGAAAAGGGGGGGGGGGGGTCCCGTGGACAAATTGTAACGGTTACAAGTAATTTTATTACTTCGAAAAGTAATCAAATTACTTTTGTGATTACTGCCTAATAAAAGTAATCAACTGATTACAAAATTACTCCCAAAAGTAATCGATTACAAGTAATTTGATTACTTGTAATGCGTACGGTACAAGTCTGGTAGTAACATATTGGTTATATTTTAAAACAGTAAAGAATAACTTACTTACGTTACTTATTTAAATTAACGAGTAACGTAACTTTGTTACTTTACTCCTTACGTCTTTTACCCAAAACGTTAAAAAAATTTCACTTAAATTTTTTGTGTTTCAGGAGCCAAGTCACATGCGTTCTTGCATTCATCCTAACACCTTAAACTTGTTTTCATAATTTTTATTTAACTTTAAAAAAAACTATAAAAATAAAGTCAAAAGAGTAAAGCCTGTTAATTCATAATTTAGAAAAAGTAAAGCAAAAGTAACCTGCGTTACTTTTTGTCGGTAGCGGTAACGCGTTTTTATTATTTTGAAGTTTTAAAGTAAGTTTGAAGTAAGTTTCCTTTGCAAGGAACGAGTAACGTATTTCGTTGCTTTTTTTCCTTTCAGTAACGTCTACAAGACTGGTTTTATTCAACATAAGCTCCGATAAACATCAATTACTTTTTCCAACCCCCCCCCCTCCACAAAAAAGAACAACAGTATATCACACTTAATGTATGGGAAAATAAACCGTAAGAAAAAACAGCCCAACTTTTGAACAAGAGGAAAAAAAGAAAACCACGGGTTTTTACTTTTAACGTATAGGATCCATGCTTCTAATCAAAATGTTAAACCAAGTTCTAAACAAAAGGAATCAACATAAACCCGACGTCGCAGAAGCTCAACATGGTTAAATGCTTTCTTGTCTGTTTGAGTCGCATTAGCCAAATAATATTTCCGGAGATAGTCATATATTGACTGGCGTTTCTCTAGATCATCAACTGACTACTTTTGCAAAAGTTAATTTCAAGTCACGCCTCTTCTTTAAATATGATTTCTAAAGACAAACTGTTACATTTCCCTTCTACTTTTTGAATCTCCGTTAGGACCTGGACTGGCTGAAACCAATAAGGCACGTTTCCTACCCCAGCTGTGGAAAGCAATAAAAAACGTTTGCAAACCCGAAACAATGCTCAGGTTCGAACTTGTTGATGTAAGTATTATTCCGGGCTTTCTGAGTGTTAATAATCAATAGACCAACGTTATAAAGACTTTGGCTGCGTACCATAGTAAAATGTTCTATAATTTTGTAATTTAAAAAAAAAAGTTGTTCGTCTTGAGGTTGGCTCACATATTTCTGTTCGGTACGATCGAGTGCGTTAATACACCTTGCGTTCTACTCCGTTGAATTCCATAGACCTCCGCTTACATAGCTTTAGTAACTTTTTTTTTTTTTTTTTTTTGTTTCAAGCAGTAATAGGAAGGCAGTCGCTTGTAATTAAATTCAAATGCATGATTCCGTCTTTAGAGTCATGTTAAACACTGTCGCTTCTGTGCTAAAACAATGTCAAGGTGAGCAAAAATTGGATTTATGACAAGTAATTAAGAAATGGAAGTTACTGCAATGCCTGAAAAAATGTTTCAAGCCATTTGAAACATACAGGAATGTAGTATAATTCAATTAAGACAATTAAAACCTAAGATGAACAAAAAATATAGCTCCGTCCTTTACGGTGCTTTGTGCTTGGCAATAAAATTTAGTCGTTTTCGTTTTGTTTTCTTCTTTGAAAATCGATGCAGAATTTGTGAGGTCTTCACTACAAAATAGCACTTGTGGTATTAATGAAATGGTTATTATAGTGGCGGCGGCGATCTCTAATTACGAAACTTCGAGCCTAGTATAGCTCCGTCCCCACATCTTTACGGCAAGAATTACGACGCGTAGGCTACACCGCTGCGGGCGGATTCGATAAAACCTTGTTCGTGCCTGCATTTTGCTAAATTTTCTTTCTGGATTTTATAGGAAAAAGAGCGCCATTAAAGTGGTACACTGTCCAAAGCGAATATCAGACACACCTATGATAACTACAATGTTCCTTACCAAAATGCCCCCGAGCCGGCAAGGTAATAAGTCTTACCTGCCGAGCACGGGGTTTCGAAAACCGTAGTCGGGGAAGCGTCAGAAAGAGCCCCATACGACGGGTCCGGCGCTCTTTTTGAGCTGCCGCTGGACGACTCCTCATGCGAGAGGGCAAGAAGATGCAAAACCACCACGCCCAACGGTCGTCTTTGCTTCCGAGAACATATACGTACGTGGATCATATGGTGCAGAGTGAGGCCACCTAATAAGGTCATTTTTCTCTGCGCAAGGGAGCTGTGACTCTCAGCAGGGCGGCTGAGCTTTCTTTCCCACAACAATTACGGCGGACCTCGGGGTAAAGCGGACCCCCAAAAATTTCACAGATCTTGTGTTTTTTTTGGCGCTTTTCTAGGTGATCTTAAAAATAATTCTGTGGCATGTTGACAAAGTCCCTGCAGTTGTGTTGTATTTTTGTGCAATTAAAACCTTAGTAAAGCGGAAGTTGTCTGAAAGACAGATCATCGAACAGCAAAAAAAAGTATTTCATAACGATCGATTCATGTACAAAAATGTGATACAGGCCAAGGTATTCCTTATCGAATGGCAGCGTGAATAAATAAAACCATAATAGAGTTCTTTTCTTTCCAAATTTTAGGTGCTTAGCATAGACACAAAAATTTTCCCTACTCCTCTGCACTGAAATCATAGCCGTACCGTTCCTAGCAGAATGAAGTAAAGCAATAAACCAAATAAAGTTCATAAGAAAAAAAGTGCACTTTCAAAGGTTCCACGATGGATGTGTCGAACGTTTTGGGCAGGGACCGTTTTCAAGCTTCACTGCAAGTGTAATGTAAAGGCACACAGTAAACGCGCTTAGGCAGAATAAAAAGAAAATTGTATGCGAATACGAAATATTCAGAGCTTGCTGCGGTTGGTGATGCCACCAGCTGCCTAATCTTAAAGTGCTAATAATAAGAGCTTGAACAATGCAATCCGTGAGTAAAGCAACAGCGAAATCACATTTACACTCATCCTGACAAGAATAAGCTAACTCAATTCATCGTTCAAAAATATGTTCCTCGGCTCAACCTCTGCTTTTAGGCGCCAATGCATAAAGCATGCGCGTTTTTCTTAAATTTTGTAAGCGAATATTTTGAAAATAAGCGACGAACAGCTTACGTCGATCGACGTTCGCCTTAAGCTTGGTGTCAAAGCAGCCGCCATTAAGTACTCCGTGCACTCAGAGCCGTATATGTAGAGAGTTTGGCCATTCGTTGGGGGAGTATAGGAGACAGATGAGGAGACGCCATTGGCCGAAAGTGGACTGGGCGTGTTCCAGGGCGTCTTCAGAAATTCGAATGTGACCAACCAGAAACCGGAAATAATACCCTGGCGGTGGTCGCGAGAAACAAACCTTATAACTGCATTGGAGTAACTCTCGATGGCTGAAAATATGGTACACTTGATGTTTCAATCACGCTCATCCAAAATGATGGTGGAAGAGTGCGACTAGCGGAACGAGCGACATAATCCGTACGCCAAGCGCCGAGGGCCGGGAATCTGCCGTTCGAGCGCTCACACTCTGTCCGTGCAAAACAGAGTTGAGCGGCGCATTCGTTTCTTTCATCTTTCTGCATGATCATGATCAAAACAACACGTGCACCCTATTTTCAACCACAAAGAGTTACTACACTTCACTCCTACGCACTTATTAAAACCATATACGAACATAGACCTTTGATCAGAACTGTTTCTCGCTACCACCGCTAGGGGATTCTTTTCGGCTTCTGGTTGGTCAAGAGAGCATGCCAAGCCCTCTTTCCGAGTATGCCGCACGCCCTGGCTCTGCCCGCGCCTCCCATTGACCAAACTCTCCACATATACGGCTCTGCGTGCACTAAGCGAACGGGTCGCCAGGCAGAGTGCAGTGATCGTTTTCAGCACGTTAGCTTCAGAAAGCCGAATCCTAAACCTAGATGATTCCATGCCTAAACAATACCGCCCAGACTAGATACGGCATCAGAGGTCTTCTTGTGATATCGAGGAAGTAATAGAGTCGTGCGTACCGTTGTACATAGCAAAACGTTTTTACCGAAAAACTCATATTTGATTAGCTAAACTGTACTTCAGTTACGAAACAACACTGGGACTAAAAAAAACTCGAGGTACACCTAAGCACTTCTTATGAGTTGTGAATGCGAACGCACGCAAGCCGCCCGTCCACTTCCTTTTTCGTCTGCTGCGTACGTTTCGCCGCCGGTCAGCGCGCGTGACCTTGGACGCTCCGTTTTAACGGGGCGCTGATGGACACGCAGCGCCATGGGGTGAGCGGTGGTGGAAACTGACGAGCGCGGCGGCCAATGGGAGCCCCGTCAACGCGAGCCAGCCAATGGAACCGAAGGCAAAATCCATCAGCTTTACATCGCTCCTTTGGATTTTGGGAAATTAGGTGCAGTTTTCGAGCTTCAAACTGATGACGTCAGCTCGCTCCATGAGACAGTTAATGCTTTCGCATTAAAAAAAAAAGGTGTGCTTGTATCACAAGACAGCTCAGTAGAGATTCTGGGCCAGATGGTAGTGATATGCAGCGAGAACTCTGAAGATCATTTCAACAAACAACACGGTGTCACCTTGACTTTAATATCACTTGGCCTTTTTTGCTGGTCGCTGCGGCTAACTTGCCCGGTGGTTAAAGTAACCGAAAGAGGTATTTTGAGGTTATGTGATTGTCTACATGCGGCAAGTACCTGCTATAGAAAATTGCTGCCGTATTTCTGTCCTCGCTTCGATTATCAAAGTCAAATTTCGAACGCATAAAACGGGTGAAGAGATTTCAATTATAAGTAAAATGGGTCACATTCGTGCGTTTTAGGAAAAACATGTGAGGCTCTTTCTGTGGAAAATTGTGTTGAGCGAGAATTAAAGAACACGGCAGTCAAGACTTAGGTTTTCTGAGCGGCAAAATTGGCCAGAACACCAGGTACTTTCTCCCTAAGGAGCCGGACCCGTTACCAAAGAATCGTTTTGCAGTTATTTTATACGCCGGTTCAGTCACCACAAAGACCAGCAAACCGCCTTTGGAGCCTGATTTTGGTCCCTGGTACCCCGATGCTACAGGTGTTCTGCAGATATAAGTGTTTACAACGTTTTCCTCTGGGGCGAATTGGCCAGAATCTTAAGCTGCGCAGCCCACGTGGCAGCCCTGCAGGTAAGGTCAGCAGTGCGACGCAAGCACAGAGTGGAGGGAACGACGACACGGGGGTTCTTCGCCGGGTCAGTTTCGGTTTGAAGCCGTGTGTATAGATGACATTTCTCGCTAAGTGGCGCACACTTCGAAGTATTTAATAAAAATATCAGGTAATGGCTAAACTAGCCTGAGATCGTGCGTGAATCCAACTACATTATGCCCCTTCCCCCTATAAAACGTTAGTCAACACGTTTGAGTTATTTAGTTAGATTAGTTTTCGATTTCCAAAATTACTAAGTACGAGAGCATACTCAATATTATCGCCTCGAGAAAAATAACTGAAACATCGAAACAACACAAATAATTATTTTACAATCCCAAAAGTAAAACCTCCAGCAGTTATAAGTAAATGTTTTTTTTTTATTAATAATATTTTTTTATTTCAAGTGGCATTTCATGTTTACATTTCATCAAGGCTCTTGATTTTTTTTGTAATAATATTTGTTTTTATTCTTTGCAATTATTGTTGTTGTCTGACGGTAGTGGTAGCCTCGCGGCATTGTTTTGATACATAGGGTGTGACAATACGATTTTGTTATGCCTATCCTACGTTTTTTGGAGCTGCTGGCCATGTAACGGACTCCCAGACCACGTCAAGCTACGTTTATTAGCTTTCTGTCCGGCAATTGTACGTTTGAAAACATAAACATCTTAATGTTAGCTTTGAATACCAAACTATTTCTTCCCCCCATAGACAACAACTTAGTCCCCGAGTCTAAATCCACCCTAACGCAGGTTTCTCTTTTCTTTTCTTTTTCATTCTGGTCCCACTAAAAATGTAGGGCAAATTTCCAGTCAATTATTTTGCATACGTAAAACGTTCTATCATCAAAAACGTTTACAGAATCGTTTAGCAGCACGTCCAGCTTGTTTAGCTGGACGCCTACGTTCAAGGCACTCTTCATCACCTAATTTAACGCGTCGCATCTGTACACTTGAAATGATAAACCTGGTGATCTTCCAGAACCCTCTAGACCACTGTTTCTCTCCCACCTCACCTCCTCCCCTAACTCTCCTCCTCACACCACTCCTGGCCACATGATCACCCCGTTGACCAATCAGCGTCGAGCACCTCACACCTCCTCTCCCACTGTTACCCAGTCAGGGTCGAGCCTCGCGGTCAGGCTTTTATCCGCTTCACTTTTGGACTTCATGAAATGCCGAACACCTAACCAAAGAAAACAAAAAACGCTCTGTGTGGCTTTTTTTTTCTCGTCCAGGACGTGCATTACTAAAACCGAATATTGTTTTGTGGCTCCTATTCACACTTCGCAACATGTGCAATTTTCAAGCACATTGCGCATTTTCTGTTCATTTGTTCCTTCTATGTGTTTTTTATATATATATACAAAGCTTTAGGTGATATGAGTGTAGTTGTATTTGATGGCATCCCGTCGCTTTTTACCTTTCAGCTGCGAAGTCCTGCGTGGATATCGGAAAAAGTAGTGTACATGAGAATCCTTGAACCGTTCAAGACTAATGAAACAGAGACTGATACATTTCTCAAAAATATAAAAGAACACGTTGACGCTGAAACGTTCGCGGTATGCTTTATGGGATTGACTAAAGTGCTCGAGGAAAAAGTAAGTACAGGCTATTTACCTCGATATTCTAGATTCGTGATTTGGCCAAGGAAAATATTGTCTGGCCCTAAGACATTAAATAGTTGCAGTAAACCGTACATCTGCTAGAATAAGTAGAATTTGTAACGTCATTATTAAGTAAATTTAAATGTGGTTAATTGTAAAATATGGGTCAGAATTTAAGCAGCCAATAATACTTCGCCACCTTTTACTAAAGTTCTTGTGGTGTACTCCTTAATAGAACATTGACGATCAAAACTAACGAATTAATATTTGTACGCCAATGGCCTTGGTAAATATATGTGTAACAATGTTAATCCGTGTATTTAACTTTATCTGGTGGCAACCAACATAATTTCATCTAGGGGTAAAACACAAATTTTCATCAAGGTTATATGGTTGACAAGGAAGATTGAATTGAGAGAGATCCTCACAAGTCCAGGCACATTCCATCATGTGCTTTAAACAATTTTACAATATTCTAGATCATCAGATAATAAGTATATGTTAACAAAAATAGTAGGTATTTTTAAATACATTTTGCAAGCATGGAAGTGACCAGTCATTGACAAACTAAAAGAAATTACAAGACATCTTGGCCTATCCAGAGCATGGCCCAAATAAGTTGTGACCTTTTTCGAGCGTCGTAAGTGGGCAAATGGAGAAAGAATACACCCTGCGCTTATTGGCTTCGAAAGCCCATTGCGAAATTCAGGGTGCACAGCTGATCATTCTAATACACCTTTCTGAAAACGCCAGCGCCACCAGTGAGCGCTCTGGGGAATTGTGGGAACTGTGAGGGTGTCGCGCCCTTTATCTAAACCAATTCTAGCCTAGTATAGAGCTTTTTCATCCTAAGTGGCGTAGGCTACCGCCCGATATCTGCACCATTCCCTATAGGAAAGACCAGTTCAAACTGGTACCAGTTTCAAACTTGGTTATTGCTCCAGTTTGATCAGTTTCAAACTTCGTTATTTCTCCCGTTTGACCAGTTTCATATTGGTTGAACTGGTCAAGGTGGTTCGAACTGGTCACACTGGTTGACTGTTCATGGCGGTTGAACTGGTCATACTGGTTGACTGGTCATGATGGTTGAACTGGTCATGGTGGTTGAACTGGTCACACTGGTTCGATAAAATTATTTTCATATGTTCACGCAACCACTGCGCTTCGGAAATATTTATTATACACAAATGTAAACACAATACACCTGCTACAAGCATCAACTGAACATACATTGAGCGCATACACATACACGGCATATATAAACATCAATACAACGGCACACTAACCTGATCACTACTACCGAGCTCTGCGTTTCCGTCTTTTATACTGGTCGTTTTGAACGTACGGAATTTCTCGGTGACTACCTAAGCAATAAAAAATATTCCTAGCATGCTGATGTTTGTGTGTAACGTCGTCGCCTTCGCGAACATCAACGTCGATGCGCCGTCACGACGCGCCGTCACGACGAAGTCTGGACATCATGTAACGTCGTCGTCGATGATGACGTTGACGTCAACGTCGTGAAGTTGCCGGGACGTCGTCATGACGTCGAGTTGCGTAATGTCGACAACGACGTCGACGACCTGACATCAAGCGTCTTTATGACGTCGCATTGACAATGACTCCGTCGTCTGGACGTCGCGTGACGCCGTCGTCGTTGTCAACGTCAACATTGACATCGACGTCGTTGTCAATGCAATATGACGTCAGAACGCAGTCTTGATGTCGTGTAACGCGCGCTGTCAACGTCGATGACGACGTTGACGTCAAGGCGTCACCGTGATGTCGGATGCTCATCGATGACGACGGTGATTAGTGTGCCGGTCGAACACGGCGTTGGGACGCAACGGGTTTTTCATAAAAAAACGGCCAATTCAAGCCAATTCGCTTGTAGCGCCCTTAAACTGCTATAGCATACTCTATATCACCTGTTAACTGAAAGTAAAACGTTTGTTCAGTCATATAGAAATAAGCCACTTCTGTAGCCTTCCGCAAACATTAGCTTCGTTTTAACACATTCTAAGCTTTTCACTCAAGCAAGATGGAAAGGTGGTTGAATAATAAAGCTTCGGAAATGTTGGCACTTAACAAATTGTAGAACTGGATGGGAACCACGAAGTGTCCCAAGCCTTCCTCTGTGAGAAAACGTTCAAATGTTCGTTCCATGTCCCAGCACCTGTAATGACAATTGGGTCATGATATTTAGGATTTTAAACTTATTTCAATGCTCAGGACACAAAACAAACCTCTTTCTATGGTCAACGAGATGTTTCGGTGGCGCCCTCTTGTGGTTCCTATCGCTCACATCGCGACCGAGATTATTAGTAGCGAGCGACAATTTCGATGGTGCGTAAAAAGTGCGATGGAAGCCTAGGGTCATTAAGTTCTTAAATCAACACCGTCAAAGTTGAGAGTCTGACACTGCTCTTATTTTCGTCAATGAGAGCGTCATAGTGAGCGTTTGACCAATCATGGAAGGCCGTTGACACCGACGGTTTCGCTCGCGCACGTCGCCAATAGAAAAGAAACGCTGAGAGGAATGCCATTGTCGTAACGAGGACCAGACATAACTGAAACTTCAAATTAAAATATAGAGAGCCGTGTACTATCTTTTTGCTATCGTCCGTCTGTTCGAGGACCGCCGGAGGCCATTTTCAGGATTAAAACCTTAATGTCACAGTCCAAATAGGCAGTTGTGCATAATTCGAGGGGTGGGGGGTCTAAGTGTACCCTCGATCGAATTTCTTGATACAGTAGTAGTTCAGGGATTTACTTTGTGGAGAATATTATAAAGAATTGGTCTTTACTGCAAGATCAAAAACAAGCCTACCTCGATTACGGTCAACCCGCAGACTAACAGCTATTGGCAGAAACATTTCAATAGTAAATTTGCTGAACAAATAAAACTGAGTACTGGAAGTACAAACTTACTTGCCTTTTGTTGAAAAAAAAATAGTACGTCTTGGCTATTGCGCTGTCCGAGCACCATTTGGACATGGCCACGTAAGATGCATCCCTCAAAAGTTTCTGAAAGTCTGCACCAAGAATATTCATCGAGTTTGACAGGTGCACCGAACGTCGAAGACCGGAACCAGACCGAAACCACACCAGTACCACGCCCCCACGATTTTGGGGTAAACGAAACCACGCGATCAGGCGCAGCGTGAAGCCGCGTAGCCGCGCAGCGACAAAACCGTTACGAAGTTATACATTTGAGCGGGCGGAGCAACGTCGCCAATGGCCATTGCAAGTGCGGAAGTCCGGGGCGCCGGCGAGCCGAGCGAGTTGACAGCTCATGCAACCTCCGCCCGGTCGGTGTGCGGTTTTGGTGTCAGACCGAAAGAGAAACATACCAAAATGAATATATCAAATAAATTACATCTTGTTTTCATGAAAGGGACACTGACACCCCCCAATTTTTTTTTCCTTTTTTGTCAGGTGATTTATTATGGTGTCGGAATACTACCCAATTAATATTTTGCTAAAGAGTCACGTATTTTTTTTAATAGAGCCGAAAAAACGCAACTGCTCGAAACCGAAACTCCCGCACCGCACGTAGAAGTGGAGAGGATAGAGTGAGTGGCGGAAGGCACGTAGTTACACCCGACCATGGGGTTTTTTTTTTCTTCCTTTTCCCTCCGCACGTAGCAGACGAAATGCCTTCGTTCGCAGTGCGATTCCTTTGCAGTTATGTTTGTTCCGCTCGCTGCTCTGTACTTCAAGATGAGTTGTTTTGTACATTTAAGTGTTGCCAATTAGTAGTGAGTGCCCGAGTGCCGTGGTGAATTCCCGTGATCGGTTCCGAAAAGAATGCTTCCGAGATGTCGCGTGAAGAGTTGCCTCACATGTCCTGCATCTGAAAGTGGCATTGTGCGGCAGAGTACACAAGTTTCCGAAAGGATCAACTGGTCGGGATCAATGGCTGGCTGCAATTCCTGTAGAACAGTTACGCGAAGCTCGAAAAGCGGACGCTACCCGATTTATGTGCTCCTTGCATTTTGTGGAAAGTGACTACCTTGGGTTCGCAGGTGTCAAAAATGGAATCCCATACCATTTAGTTCAGCGACGTATCGTACACAACAATTTTTTTTTTCAGAGGTAATTGTAAAAAAAAAAAAATGTAAACATCGCAAAATGCTTGACAAAAAAAAAAAAAAAAGGTGCACCCACACCAGGGATCGAACCCGTGCCCTCTGCGTGTACAGCGGACGTCTTTCTACCGAGCTACTAAAGGAACTCAATCATGTGTAGTAATGCGGAGGGTAGACTGTATGTCGGTAGTTTGCTGCTTATTTCCCTTCAATACGCGCACTCCCGGCTTGAAGTCGGGCAGCACCACGCATAGGCGTGCGTGCGTACTCAACTCAAAGTACGCACTTCGTGCTTGACGTTTGAGCGAGCGATGTCTTCAGCCACGAGAAGGGACGCCGACTCGGCGACGTCTTCGTGCAATCGGCTTGCTGGTCGGGCGTGTCGTGCGGCATGAATATCAGTTCTTTTGATCGGTCCAAAATTTTTTTTTCGAATGAAGACAGAATTCGCCTGTACCGTGAACGACAGTTCTGAGTAGAGGTCCAACGCCCGTCGTCCGCTGCCATCCGCTAGTCCCACGACACGCGAAACGACGCCATGTTGAGAATTATGCAGTGAACGCACAGTATGCTTCCAGTTGTCTGTGCTACCTTTTTTTTTTTCAATCAACGTATTTGCAGCTTTTTGGAAGCCACAAAAAATGGGTTTCATATTTTTTCTATTTGTAATATTGACTGAGTGCCTTCAATAACCCACGACTTTGATTAAATTTGGTGGTCGCGTCGAAACCTTAGAAAATGGCCCGTGACCACGAAAAAGAGAGCGAGCGCGGCTCAAACCGGTCAGTTCTCGATCGGCGGTTTTCGGGCCGCAAATTCTGTTCTGGGTAGTTGGGCTCTTCTATGTCACGTACGACTAAAAACCTCGGCGAGCATAAATACCCTGTCAGTGTACCTCCCTTT